GAAACCCACTGTATGTTCCAGTAGACACCAGTGATGTTGGTACCCTCTGTTGCATATTGTGACTATCCATTTGCATGTACCCACTTGTTTTGCTTGACAGTGTCCAGTTTTCACAACACAGATCTTTCAGCAAGCCATCTAATTTTAAGGACCTCTGCAGGTGTCTTCCTAAGAGTATCTGACAGCTTAGATTGCGGTGTCACATACTGTAGGTCTTCAAGCAGATCCTGGTTCTTGATTAAAAAGCAGGGCGTGAAAGAGTTGTGGGAAAGCTGTATAATTCCTTTTACGCTTGTTGTGAGGTGGCAGGGCTCTGTGCATTTTTAAAGGATAATACATGATTACTTTGAATACTGAAGATAAAGATTGCAAGCTAATGTTTAATTCATGAACTGAGGGTTCTCTACAATAGGGGTATGTGTGTGCAATAGAAGTGTGCTCAGTGGAGCGTGCAAGTGGAACAATCAAAAGCTTCTTTCACCACTGGAATTGTCCTTGTCACTGAGACCCTCCCACCTATCAATAATCAATATTGCCACCTCTGGGGGCCTCCGGGTATGGGGCAATTTCTTTGAGTTAGATGTGGTTCACCTCCTAATTGATGGGTTGGAGGTCAAGGAAGATGCTCTCTGGTTACCGTGACACCTGAATAGCATCCCTGGCACTCAGCCCTCTGATTGTTATCGGTTGCACTGCAAAATGCTTTCCCAGATCATCTGGGATCTTTCCGCATGTTGTCCTGCCTGAGATCTTGCCTTCACCTGGGTCACACTCACCCACACTCACATGCCCACACAACGCCACCTGACTTAGAATACTTTAGAGCGCCTTGGTTTCTAGATTTGTCATGATCAGGCAAGTCTTGATATTTGCTGCAACATCAGACACGCTGAATTTGTCAACGAAAAAGAAAGCAACTGTATCGAGGTTAGTCATACGTAAATTTCCCATGGACTGACATGCAGAGGCAAAACCAAAGGCCGACACTGATCCAAGAAATTCTAATCTCTGGAACGTTCTGGAAAGTGTATCATGGCAGACAAAATACTTTTTTCTGCATCTAAATCAGATCAGATTAGGGGTGTTCCTTACAAGAAAGCAAGAGAGCAAGTTCAAACGAAGGACAGACAACCGATGAATCGTAACAGCTGTTGCCCAAGGGTCTTGAATATCTCTGGAGCAAGAAAGGAGAACTGCAGTGTGAGAGAGATGTACTGGGCCTGCTAGACAGAATAAAAATGCATTTCTATTAAATCCAAAAATGAGCCCAAGGGCAATTTCGAATGTACTATGCCAGAAAAACTAAACTAAAGGAAATTAACAAGAGCATCTTTAAATCTTGGACTGTCCAGTGGTGTGGTGGTTAAGATTGGAGCCTCTAATTTCTTGGATCCTGAGTTTGATTATGGCAAGGAGTACTTTCTGTGTGGCATTTGCATGCTCCCCTAGGAGCCACATGGCTTAAAAGCACATCCTCGGTGTGCTTCTGCTTGTTCTTGGTCTTCAGGGTTAGGCTCAGACCCATAGTGGCCCTCTGAGGCAAGACGGTCCTATCCAGGTCCTGAGCACTTAACAACCCAGGCCATCTCATTATTGTCTTAAAACAATAAACCATCCAGGTGGATGCTGCACATTGGTGGTGGTGGAGGGGAGTCCCCATTACCTGTAAAGCATTTTGAGTGGAGTGTCCAGAAAAGCGCTATATAAGTGTAAGCAATTATTATTATTATTATTATTATTATTATTATTGTTATTAAAAGCATCAATTTACTGTGGCAATACATGCTGCTGCTTTAAAGTTACAGAATGAAATATCCAGGATCAGGTCTGGATATTCTTGCTCTGAGAATAAAAGTGTTTCTGAAAATGAATGGATGAATGTGTAACCCTTAACTTCACAATGAAGTATCTTTTTAGATCCTCCAACCATAAACCATTTTTTATAAATTTTTGGACTTGTAGTAAATTTGAAAAGTAATTCTGACCAAACTGTTTGAAACTTGCTGTTGGGTTTTATGAACTAAAGTATGCTCAGATATGTTCTCTAAATACAGTATGTGTTTTTAAGAAATTTCCTAAAAATGTATTTTTGTTTGTTTTACAGTAAAATAGTAGAAGTAAACTCAGTAAAGTTCTTTGTAAATAAATCCTTCATATTGTCTAGTGGTGCAATTATAAGGCACAAAACAAGCATAAGATTAAAAAAACTTCTCCTAAAATTGTATTGATGGTCACAATAAACTACATCTTTAAATATAGTTAATAACAATACCTTACATTTATATCCATCTACCTGGATGATGCGACGGCAGCCATAGTGTGCCAGTACACTCACCACACACCAGCTATCAGAGGGGAGGAGAACAGAGTAATGAAGCCAATTCAAGATGGGGATTATTAGGAGATCATGATTGGTAAGGGTCAATAGAAATTTGGCCAGGACACCAGGGCTTTTCAAGAAACACTTTGGGATTTTTAATGACTGCAGAGAATCAGGATCTTGATTTTACATCTTATCCAAAGGACGGAACCTTTTTACAGTATAGTGTCCCCATCATTATACTGGGGCATTAGGACCCACACAGACTGCAGGGTGAGCACCCCATGCTGGCCCCACTAACACCTCTTCCAGCAGCAACGCTAGCTTTTCCCAGAAGGTCTCCCATCTAGGTACTAAACAGGCTCTCACCTGCTTAGCTTCAGTGGGTTGCCAGTTGTGAGTTGCAGGGTGATATGGCTGCTGGCAGTGAAGAGATTACTCTGCTAACTAATCTATCATCATCAGATGTATCCATACTTCCCCATACCTCTACCTTTTCTGTATGTCCATCCATCCATTTTCTAACTGCTTTATCCAATGTAGGGTTGTGGAGGAGTAGGATCCTGTCCCAGCAAGCACCAGGCACAAGGCATATATGTAAATATGTCTCTGCCTGCAAAAGACGATGCAGCAATAAGGATCAAAGTGGCCACAAACACCCTGGAGCTAGGTCTTTGATTTGTAACCAAGTACTGAGTGTTTTGTGCATGACACTCAGATCTTTCCCAGCTACCCAACTGAACAGGGCTTAACGTAGAGGGGAGAACTGAACGCAAAACTAAAATAAGTAAATGAAGTAAAATGACAGAAAAATGATGACAGATGACAGAGTAAGATGATTGGGAAGGGACCTGATTTAATGCAGCTATAATGTATCAGACACTTCCACAATGAGCAATATTCCTTCTGCAGAAGTCCAATTTTCTATAGTCATTTATAGTAGCTCTGAAACTTAGAAATTGGTACAGGGTACAGGGAAATTATAAATCCCATTTGATCTCCCAAAATCTCAAAGCAAAGTTACAAATATCTTCCAAACAGATAACTAAAATCACATACCCTGAGATTAAAAAAAGAGATACCGAGTTATTCCATGGCTGGGGTGGGGAAACACTAGTCTAAAGTCAGAAGAAGGTCACTGTGCTTTCTGGTTTTCAATATATCACTCTGAGTTATGGCAGGGAGAAACCTGCATTGGCCTGCAATCACTTCAGATTAAAGATTTGAAAAGCACTTGATCTAAATGTAGAATACATTGCAGCCTGAGAGAATAATTAAATGAATGCAGCTAATCAAACAATTAGACCATTTAAGTAAATTGGAGCTCAGGCAGAAGAGAAGCTGTAGGACTTGTGTCTTTCTAGGAGGTCACACTGACATGTGAGCTGAACTGTCTTTATTTCCCTCTGGCTACATTCACACCTGACCTTATGGTCTGAGAAATTTGGGATAGTGGTGTTGTTTCCTTGTGCCTCTCTATATGCAGGGTTTCCACTTTTATTCAATATAAATATACCATCTGCCTTAATCATTTCTTAATTCCTTTTTTCTTTCCAGTTAGTAATAATCAAGTATTATTAGGTGTTAGTGGGGCCAGGAGGGGGTGCTTACCCTGTGGCTCACGTGGGTCCTAATGCCCCAGTGTAGTGACGGGGACACTATACTGTAAACAGGCGCCGTCCTTCGGATGAGACGTAAAACTGAGGTCCTGACTCTCTGTGGTCATAAAAAATCCCAGGGCATTTCTTGAAAAGAGTAGGGGTGTACCCCGGCGTCCTGGCCGAATTTCCCATCTGCCTCCTAACAATCCCCCTCTATGAATTGGCTTCATTACTCTGCTCTCCTCCCCACTGATAGCTGATGTGTGGTGAGCGTTCTGGCGCACTATGGCTGCCGTCGCATCATCCAGGTGGATGCTGCACATTGGTGGTGGTGGAGGTGGAGTCCCCATTACCTGTAAAGCGCTTTGAGTGGACCATCTCATTATTGTCTTAAAACAATAAACCATCCAGGTGGGTGCTACACATTGGTGGTGGTGGAGGGGAGTCCCCATTACCTGTATTTTGAGTGGAGTGTCCAAAAAAGCGCTATATAAGTGTAAGCAATTATTAATTATTATTAAGTAGCACCTTTTAAAAATGGTGACGATCTCAGCAAAGAAGTAATAATAGGATATATGGAATCTAGAAATATGCACCTTATATGTACAGTATGCACATACACTGTAACGGTGGTACAGTGGTTTACATTACTGCTTTGCAGTGCTAGAACCCTGGGTTCAATTCCTGGGGTTCTATCTGAGTGGAGTTTGCATTTTCTCTTGAAGTTTGTGTGGGTTTCCTCTGGGTGCTCTGGTTTCCTCCCCCAATCCAAAGACATAGTGGTAGGTTAATTGTCTTCTGTAAAATTGGTCCTGATTGTGAGTGTGTCTGTTTGTGCCTTGTGATGGACTTGCCTCCTGGCCAGGGTGTACCCCACCTTGCACCCAATACAATTCCTCGTATAGACTGTGGGCCACCCAAGTGAGATAAGTAGTTATTGAAAGATGTGTGATGATGATGTGATGTATATGCATACAGTATGAGTAATTATTCAGCTGTTGATTATAACATTTGCATTATAGAATGAGCATAAGCAAGTTTTTCGATCAAATTTATCACCTGAAGCTGTGCAACATATCTTTCACAGGTTCTATTTTGTGATGTTTTGACTCCTCTCACACACATTTGAAGTCCTTTCAGGCAGGCTGGCCAACTATGTCTCCAGATCTGAATCCATGAGTTTTTTATCCGAAGGAATGTTTGGGCTTCAGCCTCCCAGTCCAGGCGGACGTCCATGTCATCATTAGCCTGGGCGACCACCGGCCAGCTTCATCTTTCAGAGAGTAGAATTCATCCATGTAATGACGGCGGGCTTCGGTACGGAATGGAGCAGGCATGGGACTCAGGGAATGGGGTTGAACATCACATTTATTAACTCGAACTGGGGAAAGGTACACACACAGGGACAGGGGTTACGGCGCTGCACCCACACTAACACACATACACGAAGGGAAGGGGCGTCTCCCAGCCTCCGCCTCACTTCATACAGTCCCGTAGTCCTGCCCCCAGGCGCTGTTCTCAGCCCGCCTTGCGTGCGCATGGCTAAAGCGCCCCACGTGGCGCTACACCCACATGCATGCCGACTGCAATTAACTATAGAAGAGGTAAAACTGAACAAGTTAAAAATAAGCTTTTCTGTTTAACGATAATTTCCACAACATCTCACATTGTGTAACATTTTGAAATATTACAATCTTTAGTAAAAAGTCAATGCATATACACTGTATCTATAAATACATGCACTGTAGGTACAGTATACAGTATGTAGCATATACTGTATGGATCTTGGATTTGGACCACTGCCTCAGATACATCTCTGAGTACCTGACCCAAACCCTAAAGCCACTGCACTTAAAACAATGGTACATGGGGAGTCTAACTGCTCTCAAGAGTCCTGGGGAGGGAAGTAACTGTCTTGTTACTGTATATGCCCTGACACCTGTTACATTACATATACATACTTGAAAGGCACAGAGAAGGAAATAGGGGTGGAGACAGGAAGAAAAAGAAATGAAAGTCAAAGAGACAGTATCCCTAGGTAACTAGATTTTTTTGTCCTTTATTACAGGAAATGTAGTTCTAAATTCACAATTCCAATGTTGTATACATTAGGGATATTTTTTTTTCAAAATCCTGTCAAATTAAAACCCGAACCCCAGATAACTGGAATTTTCTAAATTTCATGGATATCAGTACTCCCATGCTCATGGTTTAGCCTTCTGTATGATCTTGCACACTCAGTCCTGCATGAGACACAGTCGAAATCCTAGGTTTGGATTCAGTTGTGTTGTCTCCATCTTCTCCTTGTTGTTGCACTGCATTTGTATTCTCTATGTCAAGGCTGCTCAATTTAATGGGGCTTGGCTTTGTATACGGCTCTAGCTATGACCATGAAAGCCTGTTTTCACACTTCATTAATCCTGGCTGATGATCGTGCTACCCTGTCACAACAGGCATCACAGGGGTCAGTTCATCTGCAGAAAGATCTGTGATTCTCCCCTGAGTACAGGTGCTGCCTGAGGCTGATTATAGCGCTGGGTCTCAGACGTAGCAATGCAGGCAGATAGACACACCGTGTAGAGAGTTCACATTCGGCGAAGGTTACATCTCTGACTGTCAAAATACCTGAAAGGGCATTTGAATGTTACAAAGTCCTTTTAACTCATAAAGAAATGTTTAATTATCCCCTGATATTCTCAGTCACTTTAAGATGTGTGGGTGCTGATGTAGCTAAGCTTTGGGGTTCAGTACATATATTACTCTTCAAAGTTTTAGCTACACAATGTACTAAGAACAGAGAAATAGCCTATGTGATTCTTCTCCATTGTAATCCCCAGAGTCACCCTTCCTAAAATACCCTTTTCATCTTTATAGAAATATCCCAAATCTTTATAGAAACATTGGTCATCTATAGGTTTATATGTAATCTACACATACTGTAGGTGACATTTATCCATTCTTCCATTTCATGTTTCCTGTTTCATCCAATACAGGGTCGCGGGGGAGCCGGAGCCTACCCCAACAAGCAGATTACACCCTGGACATCGGTCCATCACAGGTCAGACGCACAGATACAAACACACTCACACCAGGGCCGATTTTCCCAGAAGCTAATTAATGTACCAGTATGTTTTTGGATGGGCAAGGAAACCCAAGCAAACACAGGGACAACATACAATCTCCATGCAGACAGCTGGGTGCACAATTGAACCCCAGGCCCCCAATGCTGCAAGACAGCAATGCAAAACACCGCTCCACTGTGTCATCTGGGTGGCATTTATGAGGGATTAAATCTCTTTGTATTCCAGGACTGAACTGTTCCCTCCCGAAGGAGAGTATTATGAACAGCTCTGCATGTACATTGAGTTACATGTATACTGTATATACAAAACTGTTCTGGGTAGATTTGTAAACTTTAAGAATCTGAATGTGAATATTAATTTTAGAGTTTGATGTAATGTTTTCTAATATGGAGCCAGAACATATATTTATAATTGATCTGTGACTAATAACAGATACATATACACCACATTCACTAAACAAGACCCATTGTTGCTCTCCTTTGTAGTAATTATAAAATAGAAATACAATACTACTTAACTCCATAAAAAAGCATGAAAAAAATCAAGGCATAAAGCACAATTGGTATATGTAAAACTATTATGTTGATGTCTTTAGATTTGTACATCTCTGGCAACGTATTGTTACGAGCCTTGCTTGTTCTATTTTCTGTTTTGGATACTGTTTTTCCTCTATTTGTATTAACTGTTGTTCAATAAAACCTATCGAAAAAAAACTGGTTTCTTTTTTCGGTTTTACGACATTGCTGTAAAAACTTCTCACCATGGAAACCTCCCTGGTACCACCCTGCTATACGGCCCAAAATGGCGCTAACCGTGTGTTAGGAAAGTAGTGAAACTAGAGGTCGCATCCGACATTGATTTTAAACGTGTTCCGTGGTTTTTGTACATTGAATTAAAATTTGTATTAGTCTGTGACCGTTATGGCAGCCAAAGGGACCGGACTGCAGGTCAAAGTCCGCCGTCTCTTGAGTAAAGAGATGGGGAAGCCTGTGTTAAAGCCGAACAAGCCCTTAGCCTTGAGAAACGAAGTGGCCAACAAGAAGATGAGACTGGGAGGTGAGACTGAAATCCATAGTACTGGTTTTCTTAGCGCTGGTGAATTGAGCAGGCAGTTACTGTGGAATTCGTTTAAATTCATACTGCGTTTTATTTTCTGCTGGGAGGGGGTGGAATGTTTTAACCAGAATTCTTGTTAAACAAAAAGGTATTATATTGTACTGCTTAAAAATAGGCTCTAAATTAGCCATAGTAATAAGGGCGTCGTCTTAGTACTTCTAAAACTGATTCGAATTGGTACTCTTAATAAATTATACTGGTAATACAAAAATGAATTTTGGCAGTTTTATTCCACATTATGACAGCAGTTTCATGTGTAGGAGAACTGCTATATAATTGTAAATATTAATGTCTAAAGTGGGCCTGCAGTAAAATATTTAAACTGAACAGAAGTCACATGCACCCTTTTATCTGAAAATTAACAGAATTTCAGCAGAGCCTTGACGTTGAAATAATATACCTGTCTCGAGACGGTAAACACAGAATGAAGTAAATATTCCACTCTTTTTGTCCCATAGAGGTTCAAAATGCTGATACCTGTATCCCAGATCTGGAAGTACTGTTGGAACGTTAAGACAGTTCCACAATGCAGGGGATGATCTTTATTACACTGGGCCTGTGTAAGTCCAGGGTGGACAGGACCTCACTGTGACAATGGGATTGTGTTGCAGAGGCTTCCTGTATCACTGAGATGTCACTGCTGATGGCTTGCTGGAAGGAAAGCAACTTCAGTGATGCTGCCTGTTCCAAAGAAGTGCAGACCTTCTACCAGTGCACAGCGCAAGCGCAGGTAATAAGTCCTTGCATTTACATGGCTTTACATATAGATTGGGATTGTAGTGCAGCACCTAGTGCAGTCTATGTGGCTTTCATTACACACCAGCAACCCAACTCTACTGCAGACACAGCCATGGGGAAGATGAAGTGAGAAATTGCTGCACCGTTTGAATTGTACTTTAGAGATGCCAGATTGTGTGAGACCAGAGTGTTTTTTTTCTTTTCAATATATTTTATTACTTTTTCATCAGTCTAACCAAAACAAAATATAAAAAAACAAAGCCAACCATACCCACCCCCCCCATCTTTCGCCCTTGAAAGACAAACAAAAAAGACTATAGTGCTAATCAATAATATAATTTTGTAGGAAGCTTTTATATAATTTAATTATATAATTTAATATTAAGTTCTTGAGACAAAACAGAAAACATTTTGCCGAACTGTAAAGAACAGTTGACATTTGACACATTTAGCAAAAACATGGAGATTTACTGCATAGCCCTATTTCTAAAAGCTTCCTGAAAATGGAAACATCACCAATAATAGTCTATGTGGGAAAGATTCACGTACACTGCCATGCTTCCTCATAGTTTTTCAGTGTTACTTTTTCATGTTTCCTTAGTTCTGATTTTAATTTCTCTTTATTTCCTCTTCAGTTCCACAGCAGTGCAAGCCTACAAGTGAAGGTTTGCATTCTGTATGAATGTTCAGGTTACAGTATGCAATAGTTAATAACTTAGCTAAATTGGCTTTTCTTTAAATCACTTAGGTAAAATTGGAAAAGTATAAAGAAAAAAGCTTCATTCTTGTTTCTTGTGGAATTGTTTGTTTAAAAGGCATTAACATAATCCTTTTATGAGTCTTGTAGGTGTGGCGAAGATTAGTCATCCTATGAAACATGCTTTCCGTCAGTAGCAACAGTTGCTTTCCTGCAGTCACCTGTTTTTTCTCTCTGTAATTCTCCTTGAAGGCTGAGAGGAAAGCCGCACAAGGACAACACAGTATGGGCCAAGGAGGGCGCCTTCCCCCCAAACTGGCCAACACTCTCCTGAAACGATACCCCAATCTTCACATCGAGATCTAGAGTTCAGGGACCAGTGGCAGGTAGTGCCTCTGAAGACATATTGAACCACAGGGTATGGGCTCACAAGCAGGTGCTTGTCCAGCAGGTGAAGAGATGCCAGAGGGGCCAGCCACTCACACCAAACCTCTGTCCTAGACTCTACAAGACCCCTAACATTTCTGTCACCCAGGGGATGATACCACACATCTGAACTGCATTGTGGAGGGCTTCATCCAACTGCACAAAGAAACAGGGCAGAAGTTCTGAATCTGCATGGATTTTCAATCCCGGTGGAATATGTTGATTCCAATTTTGAACTTAAACCATCTCTTTTTTTTGTCTTTTTGAGCAACAGTTCAAAGTGAACTGGTAACACAAACAAAGTCTGCATTGCTTTTGCCATGTTTTGAATTATGCTGTGCACTCCTTGTTTGGTATTGTGTATCAAGCGTGTCAATTACAAATTGCAACAACCTTGAATGATATGTTGATATGTCATTAATTGTTTCATATATCTCTGAATGGATGCTTTTTAGACCTTCCATTATAATTTACAGTCTTGAAAGTCAATCTTTGCTTCAGAAAAACATAATTATTCATTGAGAACAGTCTAGGAAATGTTGAAGACTACTTCATTGCATTGACTAATTGGTCTCTGACAGGCTTTTTAATGTAACATTTAATTTACTGATTATCAAGCACTCAACAAAGAATATATTGTTGTTGTATTTCTGTATATCTTGAAATAAACATACTGATTAGGGTACTTCAACATTAACACTGACAACCAAGCCAAATTCGCAAGTCTCATTTCCTGAACAGTTTTCATGTAGTTACTTAACATTTTACAATTTGGCCTGTTTTGAAATATCTATACAAATAAGTTGACTGGATTGCAAGAATGACTTCATTAGGCCCACAGACCGAGTTGGGGGTAAACTTCCTCTGGGTTCTTCTGATCACTTGTATTAAAAATAAGATTCAGTTGGCTGTGTACACAAAATTGTTAAGTGTATGGGTAAGGAACGAATTTCAACCATGCAGAGAGTTAATCAGAACAACATTAACACTGCCAAATATTTCATTGTTGCTGCGGAGTAAATGAGATGGATTTACAGAGCCACAGATGATTGATGATGGTTTCTCTAATTGAGTGTTCTGTTACAGCAGGGACTAGGTCATCACATTACAGCACAGCTATTTGTGAATGGTTTTCAAGACGCAGCACTGCTGTTCCCGGATAGAATGTAATAATAATGTGGAATTAAGGCTCAGTGATGTGGGCTTGCCAAGGTTTGCTTGGCTTTTCTTATTAAAAGCTGAACTATTTTAAATATAAATGTCAAAGGATAGTTAATTTTGTTTTTAATTTAGAAAGTTTTCCATAAGTCTTTAAGAATTGACTTTACCTACATTTTGTCAAGTTACCTTAACTGTGATCTACTTGCTCTTTATCATATACATAGTTCAGCACAAATTAAGCGAATATATACTGGGGCACTTTCAACCTTATGTAAACTGTAATCAGTTGTCTTTTTGTGAAAAGGGGATTACAGTGCTTTCCTAACTGAAATCACAATTCTGATAGTTCTAGGCAACTGAACCCTACAACAGGGATAAAACTTAAATCACCATATGAGTGCAGTAACTGCAGTTTGCATAATTAGGGCTACAAGCAATGACATAACTGTATAGTATTAATACATATGAAGAGAGATAATTTTTTCCTACAGGCCTGCTGATAAGATAGTTTTACTAAGAAGTTTTCACGGCTAACAGGAACGCTTTTGTTTTATATGAATTTAGTGATGTCACTGCACGAAGAAAAATTCAGTGTTCAGTAATGAAGATCAACAGGCATCTCACCAGTTGTGAAGAGTCAGACATTTCTGTGGTCCTGTGAGACTTTTATTACTGTGATGAAGATAAAGGAATAATATGAAAGTCTTGATGATTTTCTTAGGTCTGTTTATACAGATGGATAATTCCTCAGCTGAATTGCCTCCTTACATTAGAAGGGGTATGTTGAAACACCCCGCAACCCTGTTTTACAGGTGAAAATGGACTGTTCATTTGTTTGGCATAACCTCTGCATCGCTGTGCTACGCCTCCATCTGTCAGCCGGTCTGAGATTAAATTGTCTGCACTTTGCACCCATCCTTACAAGCCTTCTCTGGTTAAGCACTGGGCACTCTATGAAAATTTCATTATAAAAGGCCACTTCTAAAATGAAAGATGATCCATCCTGAAAGTAGCTTTGTTCTTCTTTACTTATCTGTCAAAGTGCTTTACTGGATTAATTGGCTGGAAAACATTGGTTATTAAGACCTCTCTTGTAGATTACAGTGACTGTTTAATACATAGTTTGATATCATGAGGTAACATTATACAAACTTTCCATAATATTCATCCTTAATATTCAATATTGCTTTTTAAAGCTTTATCTCTTGATCGGAATGCCTTCTGGTGCATGGATGATCGCCACAGTTCTTGCCTTTTGTTTTAATTAGGTAGATTTCCCATGGGGGGAAATTAATCAATACTCCTTAGCTAAACCGTGTAGTTAGGATGCAACAAGGGAGTGTGCACTGATAGACTCATAAGGCTGCTGCTGTTCACATACAGTATGTGCTCTTTGCTAATAATGCTTGTTCTGAGGGGTATAAAATGTACTACAGCAATCATACTCTTTGGATGCGTTGGTGAAGGCATACATCTGCTTGGATACTTTCTAAACATTTTGGAAAACTTTGGTTCTAGTATTTACAATGTAAAGAACTAGATTATATATAGAATAGACAGGTTATATATAGGATAAAGGAAACTCGTGTCCCCTTGATTTGGTCATACTGCTTGATTATAGCAGTTGATGAAGCTTAATAAGTTTGTCCAGCCAATATCTGGTGAAGAACTGTATTTTGCAAAATGGCATGCCGGTCTTGATGAAAGGAGAGTCAGAGGGCTGGTTTCTTGCTCAAGTACAAAAATGACATGGCTTTCAGTTGTGATTGTGAGCGTGCATGTTATGTCTGCCCTTTTCTGTTTTATGGCAAGCCCTTGATTGCTGCCTGATGTTTCCTGTTGGGGAATCCGGGAGCTGAGAGAGGAGTTCTTGACTGATGAAGAGCCTCATCGCCTGCCTCTCTCCTACCTTTGTTTATTTATCTTTTTGGATTACTAATGGTAGCTGAAAATGACCAGATCAAACAGGAAGCAGTGGGCCGTCGCAATCTACTCGGCAGAACTCTTTTAATGGTGTACGTCTCTGAAACGGATAACTACTCTTGAACACAAGTTACTTCCGCACTTGTGGTTTACGTTATCAGCTTCCTGTGTTGTGTTGCACATCAGACTATTGTGCACAGGGACAAGCTGTCAGATACAATTCCAATGTGTCTGCTGAATGCTAGTAGTGCTACTACTACTGCTACTGTGCTACTTCTAGTCCCTGTTGAACCTTCTAATTTTAATGTTTAATCTAACATTGTCATTTTTATGTAAGACTTTCTGTAGTAATACTGGTAATACTGTTTGGGGGTAACTTGTAAGCCATACATTAGTACTTTATTACTGAATAACCTGAGTGTTATTGAATTAAACTAAAACCTGTGTAAAGCGTGCTTTACCACTGACGCATAAAATATTTTTTTTTTTATAAGTGACAAAAGATGATAAATACCAAGCTCTGCTCAGGGCTAATCAATCATTTGTGATATTCTATATGAGTGACAACTAGCATATGACTGAGTGACAATCATGGCCTGCAGGTTACCCCTTAGGTAATATGGCCCTCTTATTTAATATTTCGTTTTAAGAATTGGCTATTAGTTCATCAACATTAACAAGCTTATATAAAAACTCTTTATGAAACAGCCAGTCCCCCCTCCCAGCAGAGAACCTCAGCATAGTGCCAGTGTCAAATGTCCCGTCTCCACCTCCAATACTCCAGAATGAGAGTGAACGCGACCTTTCACCTTTGGACTTGTTTGACGATCGGAATGTGTTGCTCTTCAGATTTGCTAGCCAAAAAAAGTGAACACAAGTGCAGCTGAGGTTAGACTTAAATTACAAAACTTGGGGATTACTGATAAGAGCATAGGCTATGTGATACATAACCTAGGCTTGTCTTTGAAGGTCTGGTAAGAAAATGGAAAGCAACACTTTTGTTTTACTACCTTTGCTTTGATGGTTTTGTTGTTGACTTTATGTAGAAATAATTTAGAAATTGTACAAAATTGCAACCCCTGTTACATTTTGTACGATTAGCTCTGTTATCCAACTGGGAATAAGTCGAGAATTATTTGAAGCCCTTTCATAAATGCTGATTTTTATCATTGTATTTGTTCTTCAGAAGTCAGGAAAACATATATCGAGTTAGTGATTTGACTGGAGCCTGTGGTGACATACAGTCTGAGAGCCCATGTACATGCTGTGAATATCTATGCGAGTCTGTGTCTGTAAACAACTGTCACAGATGAACTTCGAGTATTGTGTTATTGGATCCTGCAGTGATATTTTTCTCGAAAGTATCTTCGACTGTTCACAGGGTAGGATTTCTTTTGCCTTCTCCCTTAATTTGAAAGAAAGCCTGCATTACTAACAGAAGTAGTTTGGTTTTAAAAAGCATTTACCAGGTCTACGGTCAAAGACGGCTACCACAGCACATGTTCGGTGCGGTACATCAAGACGAAGCGTGTTTCCATTTTATAATGAAGTTGACTACAGTACATAATATGAATGTCGGTTTTAAAATACAATTGATCGAGATTTATCAGTACTTTATTTCTTTTTGCAGGGTTTAAATGTAAAGTTCAGTTATCTGACCGTAATCCTGAATGATTGTAGGTTTTGCGTTCTGTGTATTTTGCAGTATCATTACAGTGTATGCAGACGATGCAGACCTCGGAGGTTCAGTTTTGGATGTGGTTACTTCCCTCTCTCTCTGCTTCACAGTATGCACCAGTCTAATTGGTCTGTTCCGCAGTAACGGTGATAAGCAATTCCTCCACGGCATTCCGACACTCCCAAAACATAAAACTTGGAACCCTGACAGGGTTTACATAAACTTCATCTGCTTGTGTCCCAGCGCTGCCGGGGTACCGAACGTTTGCTGGATATACAGTAGCTAAAATGCTATTTTAGGGAGAAGTGTTTAAAAGTCTAGTCTGGTGCTGTGTCACAGTTGTATGACCTTGGACTCTTAACTTAAGATCTAGCAATTTAGAGTCGCAACGCGGAGTTTTGACAGGTTACAATTAATATTACTCTTAAATGCGATACGTATGAGCGAAGCAAGCCCCCTGTTGAATATAACCCACTATTGCTATTAAGTCTAGTGAGCTGTTAAATGAAAACTACATTTTGGCACTACGTTGTGGTACTTGTACCCTCTGATGGCATAATGATGATTCACCGTCATTAGTAGATGAACGCTTTATATACCCCCTCTCATGAAATGTTAAGCTTTTTCTTCATTCCGATCGTTGCCCCCGGCTTCGGAATGTGCTTAGTTGTTAATTGCCTATTCCGGAGAAATAGGTAATGAGGCGATTCTTCCACGCAGACACTCCCCAAACGCAAGGCTCGAAATCTCGACGGTGGCCAGATAAACATTTAACAGCAAGATTAGGTACCAGCGCAGCCAGAGCATGACACCACCCTGGCTATCCGGTTCTGAATTGCTGTGTGAGCTGTGTGTACCCGACTCGTTCCCAACGCACCGGTTATGGTTGCCTCAGGGGCGGCGTTTACGGCGTTTGCTCTGCGCTGGCTGGAAAACAGCTGCTTCCATGGCGCACAGCGATACCTGTGAGAGCTGTCAGCACACGTCCACGTGGCCTCTCTGCCGGTTCCTGCCTGCAGATCAACAGCAGGCACTCACGCACATTCCCCGGGCAAGGGCAGGTTCATTAACACCTTGCAGTTGCATTTTTTCCTCCTGTGTTGCGTCTACGGCGCACGCCTCTGGGTAACTCCGACTGCAGCTTGCAAGTCACCTGGGCTGTCTGTCTTCAGTCACACACAGACGGAGGCGTGATGTAACGCAAGCGAAATCGCATGTTTGCAGATTTATGGTGTAACACACAAGCAGTAACACATACCCTCGTAAAACGTTTAGCCCTGAGGTTCAATGTAAAATATTTTTAAAGGAGCAACGGCTATACATAGCAGAATCACGTGTCTGAGGTGAACTACAACCTGACTCGTATGTACACTAAAAGACTCATTACATCGGTTTGTCTCGGTAAAAGAAAAACCCCAACGGACGCTACCCCCTCTTTCACAGCAAGGTTTAATATCAATGGCCATACTCGCACAGTTTCAACGTGTCGGTAGTCCCCATTCACTCACTGGGACACGCTGTCTGACACTTTATACACAGAAGGAGCGGGGCGGGCCGGGTTTATTTTCATTATAATGAAACTAGGTTACAACAATGCTTTCGTCCCGTAGGGAGCGGACACTGGTGTGAGAGTGAGAAACGGGGAAAAAAAAGATCCACCCATTCTCTGTCACAGCCTATCCTAACCGTTCGGACCAATCCAGTCTTGAAAGGCGAAGTGAGGGATTCAATTTAATGTCTTCGAGCAACGTTTTCATTTCTTACTGCAGCTGCGAGGGTCGGTGATATGTGATCCACTCCGCGGAGCCGCCAGTGCCGCAGCAACGCCTATATAGGCTAGGGCAGCACAATACGTTCCGTGTTGGGGTTCGTGTGTTTATTCTCGTTACATCAAGCCAGATTGACAGGAGCGGCGGCGGCCTGCTGTTTCAAGCGGTGTCTTATGTCAGTGACACTTCTGCACGGGAAGCCACACGAAGGACGGACAGATCCACGGCGGCTGCAAGAGAGAGAGAGAGCTTAACGTCAAAGAGTTGTATCGTCTGAAGACCTCAGCGCAGCCGCGCTGATAGACATTGTCAACACCGGCGCTGAACTTGAAGGGACGAGAATGTGCTAGTGTAGTGCGCGGACTGTAGATCCATGCTGTACAGAAGACCCTTCACACACTGGCAGCTGTCATAGGGAGTATGAGGTGCGATGGGTGAACCCCCCTTCCCTGCGCCGCTGCTGGAAGACCGGACACTTCGTGCAGGATGGATGTAGAGGCGAAGGAAATATCTGCTCTAATAATTGCATGCTGCGTCTGGCTGGTGGGTTGCGCCGAGGTATGTGATGGTTTATATATGTATGTCTGTAAAATATTTGATTTTGGTTGGTGTCTATTTTAACCTACTTTTGTTTTCACTTAGAAATTAACCTGGGGGTTGTTTGCAAGTTTCTGTGCTATCCATTTCGATATTAGATCAGGAATCTGCTTTAATGACTCGTTTAATTATAATGGTAGGGATCATCGTTTTCCTCCTTCATTTATCAGCTGTTTTTTTTGTAAAGATTATTAGGCTATTGCTACTTAGAATTAAAGGTCCTAACCTGTTTTGCTCGAATAGTTGCTTTGCATATGCCAATTTCTGAAATATTTCTTAAAGGAATGCGGTGCCTTCTTATTTTTAACGGTAACGTTTTGATTCAGCTGGATAGCGACCAGATTTTCTGCGACTGGCACTTGAATGCACACAAATGGCCACACTCCTTCACCCAAATAAACCGAATGGATACAGCACACAAGAGGCTGGTTTTGTAAAGACACACCTTCAGTGTCTCAAGGTCCAAGGCTTTCAAAGGAGTTTATGATGCAAACCGTTCGAATCAGTTCACGGTTTAGTTCTGGATTAAGACAAAATCATTAGCGCACAGAGAAATATCATTTACTGTCATATTTTGGATCCAGGTTCGGATTGTGCAAACGCCATTTACCAATTTCATTATGATTTGCACGTTCATTTTATTATTAGGTCGTATTCAGTGCATATATGGAAAATTGAATATATGATTTAAACGCAGGGTTACGTTATAAACAAAATAAAAATGATTACGTTTTAGGTTTTAATGAGCAAAAGCAACAAAAAAAAATTCAATGATGAATTACTGCTGCTTTCTGCCACAACCATAACGAGTTGAGACATTTGAATGATGACATTTAAGTTGAGATTAGGGACCCAGACTCCTAACTGGAAGGTTGCAGGTTCAAATCCTGGGTGTGGCACTGCTGCTGTAGCCATGAACAAGGAACTTCGCTCATTGGCTTCAGGAAAATCCCCACATGTGCAGCAGAGTAAAAATGTAAGATGCTTTGGTGTCAGACAAAACAAGTATTAATAATAATCACATACATGATGTAATAAAGTCACAGATGACTAAAGCTGCAATGCAGCTCGAAACAATTGGAAAATCAATGTGCAGAGAGCTTGAGGAGAGAACTGTATGGCTCATTCTTCACTGTAACTCCACTGGTTCAGTCTCTGAATTCCTGGACAAGTGACTGTGTCCTATTTTGAGATAAAGTTGTCTCAATGTGATGGCAGGCCAATGTGTCCTTGTCGCACTAGGAAAGAAAACTGCACAGCTGAGGAGTGTGTATGGAATTTTTGTTGAACACTCTTACTTTTTGTTATTGTAAGGTTTTGGGAAGCACACGTACAGAGAGTCTGAGAACAATATTTTAGAGGGTAGCATTTGTCTTTATGTACTAATTGCTTAATTACTAATCTGGATTACTAATTATTTTTACATTGTTAAACAGCTGTTTTCTCTTTATTAATTGGTTTAAGATGATGCCCTTATCCAGGGCAATTTACAAAATATACAGTCATACATAAAATAAAATGCAGACAAAGATATCCTCATTATATACTAGGAATGCTCTGCAGCTGTGTGTGGGTGGATGTGGGATGTGTCTGAAAATCATTTTATGGTATGTATTTGCACAGCTACTTAAATTATGGAAACGATTCCACTGTAAAATATTTGCAGTTATTATAGAAAAATGCGTTTGTGTAAGTAGTGCATCCCAGGTTGATACATCAGAGAAACAGTTCCACAGTTTTTTTTTCCTTTAAAAGGAGGAGACTTTGAGTTCCAATCACACTTTGGCATCAATGCGTGCAGTGCTGTATAAAAGAGAAGACCTTTGTCTCTTTTGGTATTTAAAGATATTAGTTAATCTATACCTAGAATCTGTGAATAACGCCACCTTTGGTCTCGAGCCGTTCTGTACCTGGTGTTTTTAAAGATTCAAACAAGTGTGTGTATGATGATAACAATATAAATGTTAAAATACCCAGAACAGTGACAGGCCTTTACATTTACTGTACTGTCTGTGTAATTTACTGTCTGATTGCCATTGCCTAGGCTTAGAGCTACATGGACTATGGATCAAGTAATCAAGTGACAGAAGACAGTGCTTAGTGACTTCCATGATCATGTGTGTTCTCTCTAAATTACATACTGGATCTGCTGAAGAAGGATGACATGGTGGCACAATGATTAGCATTGCTGCCTTGCAGCACTCGGGCCCTGGGTTCAATTCCTGGGGTGCTATCTGTGTGGAGTTTGTATGTTCTCCCCATGATCACATGGGTTTCCTCCCAGTCCAGAATCATACTGGTAGGTTAATTGAGGTCTGAGAAAGTTGGCCCTGGTATGAGTATGTGTGTGTTTATGTCTCTGCCCTGCGATGGACTGTTGTATCCTGCCTTGTGCCCATTGCTTCCCGGGATGGGCTCCAGCTCCACCACAGTTCTGTCTTGCATAAAGCAGTTAGAAAATGGATGGCTGGATCTGTGAAAAAAAAACATGTAAGATATGTATACAGTAGATACAGATGGAAAAACACAATATAGGAATCTCTCTTGAAAGCACATCACAACTGCAGAGTCTTCTAAATCCTGCCTTTACTCCTTTGTTAGTTTTTATGAATGAAACAAACCTATTGTATTGAAATACCTTAAGAGGTCAGGATCAGAGGAGTCTTTATCTCTAGTGTGTTCCTTGTCTTTGGCATTTTGAAAGACCTGTCATTTATTGTTAAGGGAAGCTAGATGGTCAACTGTGTCTAACTTTCAAAGAGAATTATTAAATGATCAAAAGTGAATAACTTTGTTATTTAGACTGCAACTGTAACTGTTCGAAATTAATTGCAAATATGTTTTTTTTTAATTGCAAGCTTGAAATACAAAAATACAAACATGTTTTGTATTTTTAAAATAGTAAAGCCAAATCATTCATCAGAAACATTATATTGGTAGCAATTTAGTGGAACTGTGTGTACTCTGTGCAAAAGGAATATAACAGAAATTAATAAACCATTTCTCAGTTCTAGTGTTTTGTTAATATACAGTAGAAACACCTTGCAACTGGGGATACAAACTGCAGTATATTCCCTAGAGAGATGTGTTTGACCAGGATATTACAAGGAATTTTACTTCTTTATGAAAACTAATATTTCACAAACAGTTTTCTTTTCCTTGAACGTTAATGAACTGTTTATTATATAATGCAAGTAAAATCAACAGATACTACTAGTGATGGACCTCACTAAGGCACATTACACATTAAAATCAAAACAAATCTCAGCCCTGCCTGCCATCACTGGCTAGTGGATCACTTACCTTCTTCTCAGTGTTTAATTCAGATTGAAATGTCTTTAGTCAATTTCATCGCGTATTATTTTAAACTCATTTCAGGTAACTGCAGTGTTAGACCACAGATCCAGTCAGTGTGTGTCAGACACACCTGAGCTGAACAGAGAAGTAGTATTTAATGACATACTTTCCAGAAAAGCAGTATATTGTGCCAAATTCTTGAGCCCTGTGGCAAATGCTTATTTGCTCAGATCACCCTGAACTTTTGAGATAACTGGAACACTGAACTCTTTTCCATAATCAGGGTCCTGTACAATATAGAAGACATGCATTATTACAGGATTTTAAATGACAATATAGTCACTCAGGGCACATAATGCTAACATTATACAATTGTAGAAAAAGTACTAGAGTATTGAGTCTTCCATCATGTCCTTCTATGTGCCAGTACTCCATGCAGATCTCTGTAGACCAGCAAATCCTCCTAAACGATAGTTATATCCACGATGCCCCTCTTGGATCCATGGTAGTGATGCAGCATCCAACTCAGATGGTGCCCAGCCCGGGTGCCATCCGGACATGTGGGAAAGAGAATGGGATAGTTTGGACAGAACAGATGTATCAATCCCGGAAGACCAACACTGAGACACACAATGGCATGTTCAGCAGCACTGATGTAACATGTGAGTAGGCTAGGCTGAAGTAATAGGTTTTCAGGCTGGATTTAAATCCTGAGATTGACTCGGCATCCCATATGTAGGCTGGCAGACTATTCCATAAGCTAGGGGCCTTGTAGCCTGTAAATGGTGAATTAGGAAATAAACTGGGTTATTTTAGATTTGTATTAAATTAAATTCTTACTGGAATAAAATATGAATACGTGTATGCCCAAAAGCAATGTTCAGTAATTGTTTTCAGAAGGGATTAAAATGTGCTGCCTCTTATAGCCTGCCAACCAGCATGTAGGAGTTTCTCCATTATGAAAGAAATCTATCTGGGTTTCTGTGTCTCTCTGCAGGTGGTTTCGGAAGACAGCTACTTGAACACAGTGCAGAGTGCAGGTGAGCCACCGCAGTCCACCAGATCATGCCTCCTAAGGCTTCAGTTCCTTTTCATTTACACGCGAAACTCTCAGCAGACTTTGGATTGTTGCTTGAATGTGAATGGGCAGTTGTCTTTCTGTCCGTCTTCTGTGATAAACCCAAGGATGTTCCTTGAAGTTCTTGTCACCCTCTCAGATCTTATCCTATTCCCAGCTGTTGGGAATCTGTGCACAGCACTGATGCTACTTTCACATTTGCCCTGATGCAAGATGTTCATGTGGCCGCACCCCCCTGCTTAGCTTTCGCAGGGGAAGAGTCCCCTTGTAACTGTCCTCTTTTGGGGAGGAGGGGGCACAGTATACATTCTGTTTTCACAACAAGGCAGATTTACGGACTTGGAAGTCAATGCAGCTGTATCCTTTGTGTCCCACCTGCCACATGACCTGTCAACAAAAGGACTGGACTGTGTCTGGTAGTTCTGCAGTTTTGTCCATGTCTTCTCAGCTCTCACTTTACTTTTAAACATTTTCCCATGATACAGTGGTTTAACAGCATTTTTAGTTTCACAATCAGGGTCCTGTACAACATATGAGACATCTGCATTGTTTAAACCTGAACTGACCAGGATTGTAAATTGCAATATAGTCACTATAGTCACACATATAGTCATACTAAGATCTAGTCTAGTTTAACCATATCAATTGACAGTGCAAATATGGTCTGATCCTGTGGAATATACAGTCTATGCAATCTGTTTTCACAGATGTGTTTCCCACTACCTTTGTAAAACACTTATCATCATGCAGCAAGCTGCTGTCCAACTTTTACCAGTGAAGCAGAAAAGCAGTCTGTTAAATAAGCAGGTGTCCGTATGGAAAAAATATGAGCCATGCAACCTTATGCAGGTTTTTACAGTTTGTAACACCTGGAATGGATCAGAACTGGTCTGCAAGACTGCAGCTTTTTTATTTCCCTTCGTGGCCTCTTGCGTGATGGTGAGGTGGCAGTCCTGTCCGGACTCATGTACTGTAGGTGTTGAGCTTGGGGCGGGACAGAGCCAGCCTTCCATCCACACTCCCATTACTCTGAGTCATGCTCAGGCAGGGAGTGCACAGGCTCCCCGGCTCCTCTCGGAATTCCTTGTCAGGCTCTTGCACATGGAAATGAGGGAAAGGAGGTAGGTTTGCAAGGCATGTCTAATTCTGTTGCTCAGAGCCTGGGAGATTCCCTCATGTTCTGGATGGTGGAGTGAGCCAGAACATGCCAGCAGAGCTGGATTGCAACGTGATTGTCATCACAGCATGGCTGCAGCCACATCACCTGTATGGCTTTGGAAAGGTTAAAGCAAGGTATTGTTCAGGGTATTGATCAGCTTTTGGAGTCTTTACCTAGTCTTTACCTCTTATAAAGGCCATGCAGCAGGTAATTGTGTATTTATGCTTATTTGACTCCACATCTATCAATGCAAATATACCTCTATACAGGCTGACTGTATAGAAGAATTTGCAGTTTATTAAACCTGGGATGAAACCAACCCTTTTGTATGAAGAATCAAATTTTTCTTATTGGTATGATTAGCGTATTAATGGCCCTGGTGTGAGTATCTGCATGTCTGCGTCTGTGTGTTCCATGCGAGGGACTGGTGTCATATTCAATGTGTACCCTACCTTGTGCTCAGTGCCTGCTGGGATAGGATCCTGCTCCTCCATGACCCTATATTGGATAAAGCAGTTAGAAAATGGATGGATGGACACACAGAAAAGGTAGAGGTATGGGGAAGTATGGATACATCTGATGATGATGGATTAGTAAACAAAGTAATCTCTTCACCGCTAGCAGCCACATCACTCTACAGCTCACAACTGGCAGCCCACTGAAGCTCATCAGGTGAGTTTGGTCAGTACCTGGATGGGAGACTTCCTGGAAAAAACTAAGGTTTCTGCTGGAAGAGGTGTTAGTGGGGCCAGCAGGGGGTGCTCACCCTGCAGTCTGTGTGGGTCCTAATGCCCCAGTATAGTGATGGGAACACTATACTGTTGCAATGCTCTATGGAAAGACAAAGAAAGGCATCATGGCCATCCACTGCAACCAAGGAAGTCCATTGGACCCAGGCTTCTGAGGTCAAGAGAGTGGGACTGTCTTAGTGCAATGGCTTTCCCACTTCAAAAAGCTCTCCCGCACAGGTTTCTTTATGCAGCTTATCTTCCAAACAGATGAGCTGCACAAAGTACATCAATCTCGGAGAACCATCAATCTCTTTACCAGAAAAGATTCAAAGAATTTCACCTTTTAGGAGGAATTCTGACTCAGAGGTGTTTAGTCATGATCATATAGATGGCAGCTTCATATTATTGGCTCCTCAACCACGCACAGACACCACATGCCTGAACTGAACATTCATAAAGTCATTTACTGTGTACATAATAACTCATGCTGGCAAAAGCTCATCAATCCTTTTTCCCAGTGATCTCTCTCTCACCATCCTGTATTGAAAGCCTCCTGTCTCACCATCTCTCTTGCTTTTTGAACAAAAGGGAGTGGATGAGAGTGGCACTTGCTTCAGAGGTTCCTCTGGGTTCTTTTGAAGGAGAGAGCAGGGCTGTGTGCGGCTCTTCACATTCACCACGCAATATGGCTTTTTCTGAAGCATATGTTGCGGAAATTCTGCCACAGAAAGGAGAGAGGAAAAGGAGGAAGGAAGGCAAAGAGATGATATCAGTGTAGATCTTTCAATGCTTTTAAGTCTATAAAAAGTAAGGACGTTTTAAATCTCAAGAATAAAAGACAAGATCTAGTTTCCTTTAAGGTCCCAGGGACTAGAATGTGGAGATATGGCTTTAAACTGTGTACTTGTTTAAGGAACTAAATCACCATTGGGGATGTAGACTAAGAAGTTGAGACAGGGCTCTGAGTCCTCGTGCTGCCCAGAGATGGCTGTGCCAGCACACAGGCAGACAGCTGCAAGCACACAGCCCTGTGCCCGGGGAGCAGAGGGCACCTTTATAACATCCTTCCTCTATTAGTGCAACTAGCCTTTTCTTTAAAAAAAAAAGCTCTCCACAGAGATTTTGTACTGTAAGCACTTTTTGTTGTCAATGCAAGCAATACTGCCCATCCTCCATTTCAGTAAAGCCCTCACAATTTCTAGAAATGTACTGACACTAATAATTTGAAATACAAATGAACTGCTCAAGGAAAAGGGGTTTTAATATACTGATAGCTGTATCAAAATTGGGTCGCCCCCTTTGTGGTTTTGATTGCGATTTTCAAAAGACAATTCCGAGCAAGAGGAGGAGTAAAGGCTCATAATTTATCTCACAAAACAATTCTGAGCAGCTTGGCAGAAGACATTTTCTAACAATGAGCTGCATCGCCTCGTATCAGGTTTCAAAGATTAGGAAACTGCAGTGGATTTCAGGAAAGGCAGGGAATACTGTGATTTTTCAAACCTGGTTTGAAATGATATCATAGGGTTTGGATGACTCCCAGACTGTTTCTTCTGATTCTCATTGATGTTTACTTCTGGCGAACAAAGCAAATGGATGCATGTGGCATCTCACCTTGCTCCGACATGACAGGAGAAGGAGCAGAAGAATGGGTTGAGCTAAAAGATGGATACAAAGTGCCTGATCCTCCCACACTCCTTTCACAATACAGTGCCATCCTTTGGCTGATGCACAAGGTCATACTAGTTTTTACTCATGCTTGTATCTGTCCCCTGCTGTGCTGGGTGTTGTGTCACAGTTGCATTATCTGTGTCCAGGCTGCTTGTTTTAATCGTCTCAATCTGAACTTGAAAATATTTCTGAGTAGAGGCACGAGGCTGCATGCCTGAAGTGAGGAGACTTATAAAAAAGGTTACAAGAACTCTGTATTTAAAGTACTTATATTTAAAAATATTTATCCATGATACTACACCAAGAAAATGAGAATCTGTTGTAACGATGACAGAGAACTCAGGAAAAAATGAGCTGACCTTTTCCTGCACATTGAGATTGAAATTAAGAAAGATTCCAATGTCTCTACAACATGACCTGTCTTTACACTAAAAAAGTGTTAATATAAATGCTCTGTTTATGTAGATGTTATAAGCTGCAAAAGTAAAAACATAGCTTGAAATGGCAACTGGAAGCAACAGCTTATAGACTGTGATACTGGAGTAACAGCATTACCAGCTACTGTGAAGTGTGAAATGAACTGAAGGGTAGCTGTGTCTGTGTGTGTTAGAAACCCAGCGGTGAGACCTGTGTGTGCACATCCTCTTCCAGCCCCTCTGTCGTGCTCAGAAGGCTTCACTGAGCTGGGCTACTACAATGGCTCCGTGTCCCAGACGGATTCCGGCTTTCCCTGCCTCAAGTGGACCGAGTTCCCCGACTACCTACAGCAATACCCGGGGCGCGGCCTAGGAGAACACAACTACTGCCGCAACCCTGACCGCGAGTCCAATCCCTGGTGCTTCTACCGCCAGAGCTCAGGGGCCATCGGCTGGGCCTATTGCGACTGCCACCAGGGTGAGAGGCCGCCTGCCGGTCTGCCCTTTGCCACAGTTCCCCAGAGCTGTCTCCGCCCCTGCCCACAGCTTATCTGTGCATGTGTTTCCACCTGTCTGTCTTTGTGCCTGACCACTACCTGGTGTGTGCTCGTCTCTCAGGGTGCGTATAGGTTAGCTGCACTGCTGGCATGACCTTTACCATATCTGCCATACTTGTTTGTCCATCTTCATGGCGTCTGTGTTGTGCACCTTTCTGTCTGAGTCTCTCTAGCTGTCCAGTGCTGTAGGCAGTAGTCTGGTGTTTTCAGTTCTCTGTCTTTCTATGCCTGTCAGCTGCACCTGTGTGTTCCTGTGGGTCTCCACGGAGACCCATGTGCATGTTTCCTTGCGACTCTGCCTCCTGTCAGCTGAGCTTCCTACCAGCTGGTTCTCCTCACTGCATTCACACAACTCTTTCTGTGCGTTTTGAAACAAAGGTCAATTACTGTATGTTATTTAGAAAAACCGTCACAATTGCCCAGCATTTTGTTTGCATAATTAGTACCAGAAGTGCCAGTACTTCTTAAGATTTTGGTGACTGTTGTACCTGGGTTATTAAAGTCCTTAACTTTAATTTCTTAAAAGTAATGCTTCGATATCTCCTTCAATACAGCTTTCCTCTTTACTGCAGCGGCAGGAATAAGAATAAGAATTAAACTTTAAAAGTAGCTTCTCGGATTGCTTTACAGTTAGAAAAAAACACACAACGAGAGGAGAAAGCACAATTACACAATTAAAATAAGGGTTTGGAATTCAGGAGGAAAGCAAAGGGGCAGACAGAGAACCAATTAAATTAAAGCCCTTCTAAAGAAGAAGGTTTTGAGTCCTGATTAGAAAGAGCTCAGGGAAGGTGACTCTCTGATATCCTTAAGGATAGAATTCCTCTGGGTCATTCATAGCAAGAGAAGGCCCTGTCACCCATGGGAAGAAGACAGGCTTGGGGGACAGACAGGAGACCAGAATTAGAAGAATGAAGGTTCTGAGGTGGGGAGTAGGACGATAGTAAATCAGACAAGTATTGAGGTGCCAGGCCATGTAGAGCCTTAATGGGAGAGCAAGAGGATTTTGAAGTCGACAAGAAACCCGAAAGGAAGCCAGTGCAGGATAGGAGTAATGTAATCACTAGCACAAGACCTGGTCAGGATTCAGGCTGCCAAATTCTGGACATACTGAAATTTGTTTAGTGTGGATTTAGATACCCCCGTGTTCAGGGGAACACAGCAATCTATTCGAGAGAAGATGAAAGTGTTGAACAGCTTTTCAGCTACAGTTAGTGACAACAAAGGATGTAGTCTGTTGATATTTCTGAGGTGGAATAGGAACATCTGTTTGTCCATTGTCAGCACTGTCAGCTAGCATCAGCATGGAGTCGTGTCTGATAACTCCCACCTATTAACCTGTCCTAACCTAGAGTCTGATCTCACCAGATCCAGGTCCAAGGGGCTGATGGGTAATCTGTGTACAGGCGTTGATGTCAAGTCAAGCAGCCATGATAGTCTCTTGACAGGTGTCCCCCTTTCTGCCCTCAGGAGCAGTGCGGTTGGTGGGGGGTTCATCTGCAGGTAGTGGCCGCGTGGAGGTGTACCTGAATGGCCAATGGGGGGCAGTGTGTGACACGCACTGGACTGATCGGGATGCCAGTGTGATCTGCAGACAGCTGGGAGTGAGGTATGACTTGCGACTGGAGAATTGCCCTTGTGTGGTTTCTACAATCTGACAAATATATCACTTAAGTGTCCTGCTACATTAAAGTGAGCACCAGTACTTTCAAATTAGTGGCTTTGTTTAATTGCCTTTAAGTCCATGCTTGTGGTATTACAATGTCAAGGCATATTTATAAATTAGGAACTTGCCAAAGCAGAAAATTATCTTTATTCAATGGGGTGTAGAAGCCAACAAAAATAATGTCAAAAGAATAGCCTGCCCTTGCCAGCAACAGCTTTCCAGCAGCAGCAGATTGAATAAATCAAATTTAATTTAATTTTCTTAACTAGCATCATAGTTTAACAAGCATTTTGCTTTCTGCCTTAATCAGTCCATCGTGTACAATAAAGGCCTGGTGTCTTCTAATTTTTGTTGCACTTCAGTTACATAGTTGGTCTAATTATTCAATTAATTGTATAATTGTATTTTTAAACTAGGTTCTGAGGTGCTGTATTGGTAACTGTACTGTAATAGAACTGAAGAGAATTCCTGTATAAAGCTAAGAATGTAGTTATTAGGTTAATTGTTTAATTGACTGCTCAGGTTAGAAAAAAAAAACAAAAGACGATAGTCCCCCACAGGAATTGAATTTGAGATGCCAGTGTTCAATCAGTCCCTGTAGGTATAGGTCAGCTATATAGATAACTGTTCATTTGTAATCACACACATAATAAAGAACAATATGGACCCATAATACTCACCAGTCACATTGACCTAATTATCCAGTTATGACATTCATCAATAACAAGCTAACACCTTCCTGTTTAACAAGATAATCAGGAAGTAGTGCAGCCGACAAGCTGTCGTTAAATAAACGACAAGGAATGAATAAAACCTCAGTTGACTAAAATATTTCAGACTAATCAGAAAATAATCAGTGACTGCCAAATGAAGGAATTTGGCAGCTGTGTATTCATGATCATGTTTGGTACAAGTTGCTCATCATAATTTCTCAATACATGATCCATCACTCCAATATCCCAACAAGCACACATTGCCAATTGAATTTGTTAAAATGTCTAGCAGCTGGCATGGCAATAAAATCAGCAATATCAATATCAATACCAATATTCATTCTTCCATCCATCCATATCAGAAAGCCACTAATTCTCAGTAAGGGTCAAGCTTATCCCAGGGCAGGACTATACCCTGGATAGGATATCAGCGTGAAGCAAAAATAGCTTCATAATGCTTATACTTTCCTCTCTCTTTCATCCAAAATGTGGGGGATTTAAAAAAAACAATCTTGAACTCTAAATCACTTTCTAATACTTGCCTCCATATATTATTATTAGTACTTTTACTACTATTAGTACTATTAATGACTATAAGTTATACTATTACTTCTATTGACTTGATATAGGCAACGTAAGGAAAACCAACACAGGAATGTTTCTTTAGTTCCCAGTTCAAGGCTAAAAAAATGTATTGTGAGTAAGTGAAAAGAAACTGGAATGTTCATTAATAATATTGACATAGTGGCTATAATGTGTATAGATGTTACACAGTATCATGGTTATAACGCTATTATAAAAAATGTACCCTTGATAAATGCTGGTCACTTCTGCAAGAAAGGTTGTATGAAAGATTATATGTGTATTTATGACAGAAGAACAGTGATTGAAGCTCTAATCATACCGTTCCATATTAAACATCTTTTTACTTCACCTCTGGTCACCATATTGAATCATGTTTTTCAAATCTCTCTCTCTGTGTTTAATGCCAGTGCCTGTAATGCATGTCAGAATGTCCTCTCCCTGTTTTTATCACTTTCTCTTGCTTTTGTCTTGGCCCTTTCTTCCTCGTTGTCCGCAGTGACATTGGCACAGCGCTCCAACACTCTTATTTTGGGCCTGGTTCTGGACTTTTCCACTACGAGCGGTTAGGCTGCCGTGGTAACGAGAACTACCTTCTGGAGTGTCGGAGCAGGAAGTTCATCACCGGCGACTGCAACCATGGCAATGAAGCCGGGGTGGTGTGTGCCCCACCTGAAGGTAAGAAACGAGAAGCAGACTTTCAATAAGGCTAAAAACAGTGATCAGTCAAAGAACCGATGAGTTCAAAACAGCATAGAGGCTCAGAACATGAAAACATTCCTACGATTGCACATAATGCAGTATACAGACTTTTTGTATTAGTGTCAAGCTTTAACACAGAGATAACACAGCAGCAAAGCACTAGACTAAAACACATTAGTATTTTAATTAGTTATGCATCCTGTAAGATTGCACAGACAATCTCTTGGAAGTCTTACTTTCACACAGTGTGTGTTTGTGCTGTTAGAAAATGAAACCCAGTAATCAGATGGGCATTTTAATGTAGCACGTCTCCCTCTGACATGCACACATCCTAGTCTTTCCAGACGCACGACTGCAGACCTGCTCTTATTCCGATCCCTCTGATATGAACAGTTACTGTAAGAGTCTTTCCTGGGCAGAATGCATCCCGAGTGCTCTAGTATATTTAGAACAGCTGTGAATAATTCAGCCTGGAACATTAGGAGAGCGAGAGCTATCTGAGAATCCTGAGTTCTGGCAGGAGAGATTCCCCCTGGACACTCCTCATACGGCTCTCCCTCACAATAACAGCAGGCACACCAACAACACGCAAACTGACCTCTTTTACCCAGTTTTGCACACAGAACTTAATTACCACAGTTATATGTTGCCAATTCATAATGAGACACTATTCAAAGCTAAATATTGAAACCTTAAAGCATTTTTAAGATGTATTTTTGGGAGTCATCATTTTTGGAATATGACGTTATAGACATTCTGTTAGTCTCCAGAAGGACTAGCAGGTATTGAAGAGCTTCTGCTGATTCATGATTCTGTTTGTTCTCAGAAGGAAAGTGACCAGCACTGCATTTAGAAAAAAGTCCATGCTTTTAAAATTCAGGTTAAACAAATCTTTTGATTATTTAGATCATGCACTGATGATTGACTAAATTAGTCAGCCAGTTTTCCTTTTCAGATATTAAGGGTTATAGTTCAAAAGCAGAAGTCAAAACTACAGAAGCAATAAGTATCCTAACCACTGTATTTGCTATTTCTCCCTGATGTAGATAGATAACTTTATTAGTCATATACAATTTCTTGCATGCCGTTACAGACAATACATTAAAATTAATTTAAGCAGTGAGTAAATAAAAAATAAAATGTGCCTTGATCTATTTTTTTCATGCGAGGGAACACTATCAGTGAATGCTCATATCTGTCAGCTCAGTTTTCTGTGGTGTCAAAACATTGATGATAAAATAATGACTGTTTTCCTTTTGCCTGGCTTTCTCATTTATAGTGTCTACAAGCAATCGACAGCATAGATAAGAATACAGCAATCTTTCATTACTTGACTAGGTTTTCTCAACCTTACTGTGACATCTGGTGACATACCATGATGGAGAGCTCTGTTGGTTGTGTAATGTGGGTGTATTATGCTTCTGGTTGCAAAGAGCCATAGGCTTCGCTCCAGGCAAGGGGACAGGATTTAAAGGTACTTTTTGGGAATGTAAACTAGTGCTTATTATGTCTGTGAGAAGAAGCAGAGCACCCACTGTGTGCTTTGACTCTTGACAGCGTGCATCTAAAGCACCCTCTGTTTTAGTGCTTTTCTCGCCACTAGATGGTGCCTTCAATGTAATGCTGTATGGCAATTCTGGGTGCCAACAGCAGGTGTGGTTTCTGATGTTTCGAAACTGTGCTCAAGATATTTCGGTCACCCTTTTAGCATCCTAGGGAGGGCTGTGTATCTCTATTCTCAGATCTCAGGGAATATTCACTGACCTGGATCATCTGACCAGCTAGGGGTCATCGCCCTCTCTGCCGTCCTCCTCGTCCACCTGCAGTTTGGGAATCTCGGAATGATAATGAAATGGGACAATAAACTGGGTTAGAAAATGCGATCACGTTAATATTGATTCAGATGTCGCTGAGTGAGATTAGATTTTGCTTTAATATGTTCAGATATAATGAAAAACATCCTAACCCACTATGTTTTTGACAATGAGCACACAAAGAAATCCCTTATTGTCCTGATCTGCATCTTTCTAGATCTACCCCACATTACCATCAATGTACAGTTTGGAATTGAAGTGGTTTGTGTGTAATGTGATTGGCCAAGTGTGTGTGTGTGTGCTGACTCTGTGATGGGTTCTCAGGCTCTGGTGCCCCCTTGAGGCTGGTGGGTGGAGCGGAGGACTTTGAAGGGCGTGTTGAAGTCTATCACAATGGCAAGTGGGGCTCCATCTGTGATGACCAGTGGGACGACATCGATGCTGAAGTGGTCTGTCGACAGCTGGGTCTGGGGTACGTACCTAAATTCCGGTAGTTCTCCATGGTGGAATAATTCGGCACCTCACCTTAAAAACAAGCGACAGCATTCCCTAACTTCCCTGATTAGAGTTAAGGTCTGCAGGACTGAGCTGTCAGTCTCTCATCCGAGCATGTTGCTTAACCTCCCTCCCCCACCTCTACATACAAGTGCACAGACTATACGAGTTGTTCTCTACATCCAGCTGAAGCCATGCGCTCTCTTTTATCACTCCTTCCATTATTACGAGGGGTGGGGACGGTGTTTTAATAGGGCTGCCAGCTCTTGTACTTGTGTTTTTTTTGAGGGGGGATCTTCCTTGTGTGAAACCCAGGTCTAGGGGTGGGGACCTATCACCCTTGTATGCAAACAAGACTTGGGTTTTTTTCCTGGGTTGATCCCTGCCATTTTCTGGAGTTCTTCTTATTCCAGGACAAATCTCTCAAGAGCTGACAGCCCTCTACCTTGTACTGTTCTCAGACCATTCTTTCAGCCAGTTATTCCCACCAGGACAGTCACAGTAAATCAACCAGCGGGGCTAGCGAGAGAACCTGCCCTGGCCCATACTATTTATGAGGTCACGTTACCTTTGCTGCACAGTGTCCCAGAGTGAATTGAACATGATCTGTAAGCTGGCCGTGTGTCCCTTTCTCCAGGGGCTTACCGAAGGCCTGGTCCTGGGCACACTTTGGCCAGAGCTCAGGGCCCATCCTGCTGGACGGAGTGCAGTGCACAGGCAACGAGCTCTCCTTGGAAGAGTGCCCCCACGGCGGCTGGGGGCAGCACAATTGTGACCACATGGAGGACGCGGGGGTGTCCTGTAACCCCTACACCGGTGAGGCCCACTCCCGCCACCACACGCACGCACACCACAAAACTCCACTGAGCTAGACGTGCATCACACACATTCCAGCAGGGAAACAGACACTCCCTTCGCACAGGCTTTATGACCTCCTGGAAGAAGCTAGGACCAGGTGATGGATATTTTTAGATATATAGTTAAATAATAACATGAATTCCTTGCATTTAAATAGCAATTGTATTCTCAAAAGATCCCAAATTACTTTAGCTATATGAAGGAGACCCACCTCTTCCATTACTGAAGTACAACACTGTCAGCAGTGGTTTGGAATTTCAGGTACAAAAGGAAGAGCGCCACCTACTGGGCCACCAACGCCAAATACAGCAGCAACCTGATTTTCCATATCAGTACTGAATAGGCCCAGCAGGTCTTATCTTATATATTTGTTTTACTGTTTATATATTTGCTGTACGGCTCAATGTTATTCTACCTCTCACTGTTATTTAATTTCTGGCGTGTGTCTAGAATAGTATGTGAGTGGATGCTGTCTATTATTGGTTTTATGTCATTTGTTTGTATTGTATGAGCTAACAAAACCAAATTCCTGTCACTAGTTGTTACGGCAACAAAGTATTGTATTGAATTATGAGACTGTGGTCATAAAACCTGACGTGGATCAAGTCTTATTTCATTCTTTGTGCTCTCGCACAAACACATGCATAGGCAGGCGCACACACACCTATGCCCTTTCACTTACTGGCAAAGTCATTTCAACCCCCGCTTTCACACATACTGATACCCACGAGTCCGCACCAAAGAGTTGCACCCTGACATGCTCCGATTCGGGACGCCGGCGTCCGCTGTCGAAGCATCGCGGTGCTTGTGTGAGCAGCGCAGGGCCCCCCCTGCCTATCTGTGTGTGTTAGACGGCGTGGTGCGGCTGGTGGGGGCGGACAGCCCATGGGAGGGCCGGCTGGAGGTGTACCACGAGGGGGACTGGGGCTCTGTGTGTGACGACAACTGGACTGAGCTTAATGCGCAGGTGGTGTGCCGTCAGCTGGGCTTCAGGTGAGACAGAAGAGCGTTTCTCAAGAAACGGGAGTTTCCAGGGCCTTGTTTTTTTTAAGTATTTTCAGCTACCTTAGTTCTACCAAGCTATTTTAATAAAATAAACATTTAAACTGCTTAAATGGGCTGCCTGAAACAAAGAGGCATTGCACAACGTCATGATCATGACGATCTTGGTTAGAAGCATGTAAACTTCACTTGGTTAATCGTTTTTTGAAAATGAAAATTTTCTGTCACTGGATCTACGAGAGCACAAGTCCTGAAAAAAATGTATTTTCACTTGAGGTTTACAGTTCTGATGTCATACATAGAAAGGTTAAGTGTGCATTGTGACCCTTTACCAGAAACCAAGTTGGCATTTTTATTCTGTTGCAGTCCAGCTGGGATTTCTCCGCACCACTGGTATTTATTTACTTAACTCTGCTGATCAGCCCTAAAGTCTTTAAAAGACCTGCTAGGAAAATGACTTGAACTGGAATGCAATGGAAAGACCATTGTTACCTGCTAAGAAAACAAGTGCTGGTCTGGAGCGTTCTCCCCCCTGATGGCAAGTGTGTGTCACTGCCATTCCTGTTGTTGTAATGCTCTGTTTTGCCTATAGAGGGCGAGCCAAGGTGTCTGCAGACGGGGCGTACGGGGAGGGCACTGGGCTCATCCTGCTCGATGAAGTGCAGTGTTCAGGGAGCGAACGCTCGATCCTGGACTGTCAGCATGGCGGCTGGGGGAGACACGACTGCTCGCACGGTGAGGATGTGGGCGTGATCTGCGAGAGGGAGGTGGAGAGCAACAAGATCCCAGGACCGCCACCTGCCACAGGTACACACAAAGCTGGGGAGAGCGGGTATACGTACACACACACAGCCGGGGTGAACTGGAAGAGTGTGGGAGCTTCCTCTATACATTTGCAGGCCGAAACATCAGGATCCCCCACCTGATTGGAAAGACCCCACCAGAAGCTATTCTTGCTTTTCCTAGCACATTATTCTGCAGGGGTACCTAAAACTGTGTCCAGTGAGTGTCTGTCCCCTTTATATAGGCACACTCTGCCATAGAAGAAATGGAGGATATTGAAATGAGGAGGAGGAGGGGGGCCACAAGCCTAAAATAGAGCAGAAAGTGAGCAGAGGACTTCAGTGTGTGACAGGCATTGGGGAGAAGGACAGAAAGAGCGAAAGCAACACAGGAGGAGAGAAAGGACGAGGTTGCAAAGGATGAGGAGAGAGAGAGGGAAAAATGAAGGAGTCAAGGAGAGGGGCCATTCAACAGAGTAGTCAGAGGCCATCTGGGATATTCATTTGGAGATGAATGTCGGATCAACTAATAAGTAGGGAAATTGTTCCGTGAGAGCGTCAAGAAAAACGCAGGGCTGTCTTGACAGAGAAGTCAAAAAGGCATGTTGCTGTGAATGAAGGAGAGGGTAACACGAGTGACCTAGAGACTGAGGAGAAGATAAGGAGCGTCTGTTTCAAAGTCCAAACAGCAGGGTGCCCGTTGAGAAAGAGAACACCTCTGTACAGCGTGACAGCCGTGGCCCGTGAGAAGCTGACAAGTGTTCTGCTCGCAGAGCCGCTGGTTCGCCTGGTGGCCGGCGAGAGCCGCAGGGAGGGCCGTGTGGAGGTGTTTCTGGACGGCCAGTGGGGGAGTGTCTGTGATGACGGCTGGAATGACCGCAATGCCGCCGTGGTCTGTAGACAACTGGGATTCACGTAAATATCTGTTTTGCTTGTCAAAATGTGGGAATCCAAGAATTTTTGGAGCCCTACTGCATCAAATAGAGTTTGTGCAGCATATCATGGGCATGAAAGTAGTAGAGGGGATGTTTTCTTTAATCAGTGTGACAGAATGACCTGTGCCCTGCTTACTGGAGCACACTCACCCACAACTACATACACTTCACAACAAGGCTGCTGTTTAAATAAGCATTTCACTTATCTCACTGACTTTTACCAATTTGCATCTAATGATTTATTTCATGGATGCACACATGCAGGTTGATTGTTGGAAACACAGCAATGTAAAGTTATCACAACACCCATTACACACATACTTACATAAACAAACAGCATCGACCATTTACATCCCATTCTTCAGGCCCCAAGGAAGCAGAACCTCAGCTGGAGGCTGTCTTTGTAGGTGCCTGCACAAAACAAATGTCTTATGTGAGGGACCTAATACAGAAAAGAGCCTGCTCTCTGACCACAGGGCAGATTAGTTTGTGGGGTCTGAGTAAGGGAGTTTCAATAGTAGTGGAGTATAGGAGCAGTATGTGTGAGAGCCTTGTGTTAAGGCTATATATTTTTCAGCCATCTAAATGTTTAACTACTGGGTGTTCTGCACATTGTTCATGGTTTCTGGGAGTGGGGATCATTAAATCAGTGCACTTAATTGCTACTGCTGGCCTGTCTATCATTTGCAGTATGTTTTGTGGGAGACCTGTACCCACGTCTACCCACACCCAACACTGGGTTGTGAAAATAAGGCTATAATCTATTGTACTATTTACTTATCTTAGTCCACTAAGTAATCAAATAAATACAGAAGGGTTTGTGCTGGTTATGCCTTTCCCATAAAAAGAGAGAAGCCTCAGGGGCCTAATTGCCTCACTACTTTGGGTAGGCCTACTGAAAAGTCTCATCTGAGTAGGCCTCCTTCACAACAGTGTCCACAGGGACAGACAGCCTGAGGAGAGATAAAAACTCAAGCAGGTGTGCCCACCCTTCCCTCTCTCGCCCTCTCCCTTGGCCCATGTTCGTTCTGTCTCTCCTCGGCAGTGGGGTGGCCAAGGCACGCTCCATGGCCTACTTCGGTGAGGGCCAGGGCCCCATTCATCTCGACAACGTCAAGTGCTCGGGGCACGAGGCATCTGTAGGCCAGTGTCCGGCGGAGGTACAGAACGGCCACAACTGCCGGCACAGTGAGGACGCCGGAGTGATCTGCGACTACACGCCCGAGACACTGGGGGAGAGTGAGGGGTCCCCCCAGTCCTGCGGCTTGCGGCCCAGTACTCAGCGACGCAGAAGGAGGATCATTGGAGGGGGAAAATCATACAGGTAGCCTGGATCACTCAGGAATCTCGGCAAGCCCTGGCAGCTCAAGAGGTCCATTAGCCTTCAGACCACACCTGCACTGCTTCAGAACAACTTCCTTTACACAGCTGTTTTGTCCACTTTAAAGTTTTACAGGCTGTAGCCTCCTGCATACGTGTTGAGACCCAGTACTGGATGTTTTGTTTTCCTTGTGTTGCCCTTATTATTTTTATTGAGTTTTCAAGACAAGTAAATGGCAGAAGTGAGAGAAAGGACAGACTTCTAATGAAGTCAGAAGAAAGAGGAGGGAGACAAAGGCATTAAAAGACTGAATTGGATAATGTGGTCATGCTGAATGGCCAATGTGATAGCTATATAATCAAGTTTAATTTAGGTGCACTTTCTCAGTGTTTCTCTCCCCCTTTTCTCTCTTTTGTAGTCTCTCCCCCATTTTGTTCTTTCTTTTCTCATCTTATCTTGACCCCCCACGTACGTTTCTCTTCGTTACTCCCTCTTTCTCAGTCTGTTTCTTTCTCTGACAGGGGCGACTGGCCATGGCAGGTCTCTCTCTGGCTGAAGTCGCAGTCTAAAGGTCATCACCCGCTGTGCGGTGCCACACTCATCAGTGCCTGCTGGGTCCTGACTGCTGCACACTGCTTCAAGAGGTGAGCTGGCCCCCCCTGGTGGACATGAGGGGAATTATGGGGCTGGTGTTTCCCCATGAGAGGCGGAGATCTTTCTGTTGTTCCACTGCTCAGGAGCACAGCTGTATTCAGGGTTTTTGGGCAATATCGCAGTCATGTCTGAGCGCCTAGAGAGAAGTGACTTTCCTAACTTTCTTCCTATCTGATTCTCAGGCTTCTTTCCTTACACCATGTGTGTGTCTCCCTGGCTCTCATCATTAATTGTGTTCTGCTCTATGGATGCTCAAGCACCCTAGATTTTTTTGGTTATATATATGTTCTGCTTCATATGTGTTTGGGAGATTGCCCAAGAATTGCACTGGCACAATGCAAAATAAAAAATGTGCCTTGAACCTAGATTCAGTCATCAACTTATCTAATAATAATAATTCCTTACTCTCCACTCAAAGAGCTTTACAGGTAATGGGGAATCCTCTCCACCACCACCAATGCGCAGCCCCCATCTGGATGATGTGACAGCAACCATAGTGCACCAGTACTCTCACCACACACCAGCTATCAGTGGGGAGGAGAACACAGGGACTAAGCCTATTCATAGATGAGGATTATTGGGAGGCCAGGGTGACACCTCTACTCTTTTCAAGAAACGCCCTGGCTGGGATTTTTAATAACCACAGAATCAGGACATTACTTTACGTCTCATCCGAAGGATGTCGCCTTTTTACAGTATAGTGTCCCTGTCAGTATACTTGGGCATTAGCTTCTCGGTCTTTTGGCCAAGATCAAGTGTGAGCGCCCCCTACTGGCCCCACTAACACCTCTTCCAGCAGCAGCCTTAGTTTTTCCCAGGTGCTCTCCAATCCAAGTACTGACCAGGCTCACATCTGCTGAGTTTCAGTGGTTTTCCAGTTGTGAGTTGCAGGGCTGCTGGCCAAATCATTATCTGTTAATTATGATTCAGTTGGTTTGTGGTTTAGCAACCTGTCATAATGAACTCATAAGCAGTAAGTAACAGACATTGGATCTGATAAGGTGTCTGTATCATCTCTGCCAACAACAACAAGTGAGCTTAGCAGGATATAAAGTGTATATATTTAAAAATTGGATACATTTGCAATTAGAAAACCAGCTACACAAGCCCAACAAGAGTACCTGTCCTTAATGTGACTTCTGTTTTCGAAAGCGCGAACGACCTGCCTGTCACTGCAAAGCTTGCCACAAACTAATGAACTTGCAAAACATGTCATGAGAGAAGGAAAACGCAATGCAATTTCAGCACTCCGTATTCATGATGTTTTCTGTTTCACTGGTTGCCGAACACTCTGTAAATAACTTCATTAGCAGGAGCACAACAAAGGAACGAACCCTCCTTCACAATAGTGTGAAGCTTCATGAATGTCAGACGTTCTGTACTGGTTTTCACCATTAATGAAGGTAAAGGGGATGGGAAGAGAAGCGCTTCAGTAATTTTAGAACGCTCGCTCCAGGGTTATTCATTTCCAAGCAGCCTAACAGGAAAGCGGATTGAATAGGGATTTGGAGAGTTTAAGAGGAGGTGTGGATGTGCAGTGTTGTTCTGAGGTGAATGCTAGTTTAACTCCTGCATGTGTGACCGTCGTGGTTCCACGCGGGCTCGTCCCCCCCGCCGCTCCACCCTGCCCGTTTCGTCCCGCAACACCTGGGGGGTGAACCCGGGTCTCCGGCGTAACGCAACAGGGAGCCAGCCGCATGAGTTAAAGGAGACCTCCCCCAGCCCAGGCAGCAGAGGTCCCTGCTACACGCGGGGTGGGGGGGGATGACGTCATCTTGTCCGAACTAGCTAGGCTACACATGGAAGCTAGATGCAGTGTGAGACAGTTAGTTGTGTGCTTTTGCTTATGTCTGGTTTGGCACCCACCTCCTGGCCTCTGCATGTGTTTAACGTTTGACTCAAGAGGGTACATTTCACAGATAGGTGAAAAGGCAAGCATGCAAAGGGCGTGAAGCTCAAAATGAGCCAATAGTGTGAAGCACAAATCCAGTGTTATGCTGGCTATTGAACACATGTTGCAGAGACAGTCTTGTGAAATCGTCTCTCTTATGTTGTGGCAGGTCGCTATGACCCCCAGCTGTGTTTTTAGTTTCTTTTTGATGTTTTCCCAAGTGTCATTTGTAGTTGGTCCCCCATGTAAAGAAAGTCATCAAGCCATCTGGCAAATTTGTAGTAGGACTGCTCTCTGGCCCATATGTATCCTGTACTGTCCCTCTGAACATTGTCTGCATCTCTGGGTTGACATCCTTACTGTTGTTTGTATTCCATCAATGTCTGTCTCTGACTGTCAGTCAGTGTCTAAGATTTTTGTGCTTTTCCCTCTCTTCGCTCATGCTTTGGCTACTTTAGTTTCCCTTTAGGAAAACAAGAAAGTTACAACCACGTAGAAGCCATGCATCCTATCTAGCCTCTCTAGGTTATCAGCTTTGTCAAAATGGCTGGGTAGTTTGTTCCATACTCCAACAACCATCTCTGCAAAAACTTCCCCCCATTCCCAGTTTTCAATATGCTTCTCTGAAGTTACCTCGTGTATTTTGATTTTAAATCCTTGAATGGGGTCCTCTGCTGAAAGGTTTGGTTTGTTTATCCTGTTCGTGCAGGACATAGGGCCCTTTTCTGAGCCTGAGAGAAGGTACTGTATCTGGTTCCTCTTCTCTGGACTGATTCCAGCGCAACAATATCTTTTTTGTAACATCTATCCACTCACCACTTCTTGCAGTCGAGGAAAAGGAGCGAGCAACAGGCACAAAGCAGGACACACACTGGACAGGACGCCACTCCATCACAGGGCAGGCACACAGACACAGACACAGACACAGACACAGACAGGCACACACTCACACCAGGGCCAGTTTTTTTCAGAAGCCAGTTAACCTACCAGTTTGTTTTTGGACCGGAGCACCACACAAACGTGGGGGTACGTGCTCATTCCACGCAGGTAGTAGCAGGAATTGAACCTAGGGACCCAGTGCTGCTTGGCAGCAATTTTGTTTGTAATACGATGGCCAACACTGTACAAGATATTCTAAATGTGACCCCCCCGGGGCGCTGCAGTCACAGTAACAGCCTCCGTCCTCTCACTTAGGTTCGGCTCCGACCCCTCTCGCTATGTGCTGCGGCTGGGCGATTACCACACCGAGGAGCAGGACGACTTTGAGCGGCGCCTCTCGCCGGAACGCATCGTGATCCACAAGAAGTACAGCCCCCAGGGCTGGGAGTACGACATCGCGCTCATGCGCTTACGAGGGCCGGAGGGGCGCTGTGTCTCCTTCAATCCCCACACCAATGCCGCCTGCCTGCCCGCACAGGGCAACAGGTGGGGCAAGAGACCCGCGGCCTGCATCATCACGGGCTGGGGCATTACAGGTACGCTGCGTTCCCCCTCCGTTCTGTGTCACACCTCAGGGCCTGTGTGAGGGCCTGTCTGTCGAACATGCTCAACTAAAGTCAGTTCGTGTTTTATTAACATCTGGGGGGAAGTTTTTTTTATGGCAGAGTCTGACAAAAACAGACAAACGTCACCAACAAATAAGACTCAACAATAGTGTTTCACAAAATAAGAGTTAATTGAGAGTGGGATTGAAGAGGGCATATTTCCTGACGCTATCACCATTACCCCTGGGGACACAGAGGCATGTCCCAGTTGGAAGTAGTGTAAATTCACAATGGAGGGGGTGAGACACACACTCCATAATGCTCTTAGCCGTCTTTACAAACCCTTTGTTTGTAGAGGGCACTTATGAATTTTTATGTTATTGGCCCAAATAATTCTGCTTCCTATCCTCATTATTTCCCAACCTTTTACAATTAAAGGTACTGAAGTGGCCTAACCAGCAAGTGAGATGGCATGTTAATTGTTTATAAGTGATTTGTCAAAAACTGCTTTCAAGTAGCTGAGCTTCCTAAGAAAACACTGTTGGACATTTATATACAGTAAATGGTGTTACAACATTTTTCTTATCTCAGGTTTTTCTCTATGACCAGTCCCAAGTACTTATAGTCGCTGACCACCTCTACAGTCTGACCATTAATTACAGTAGGCTGGAGGGGTGTTGCAAAATAAATGATAAGGTCTTCTTTTAAAGCATTTAACATCAAAGAGAAGAAATAGCATACCATGCCATTTAGTAAAAACATTTAGAATGAGCCCATGATGATTTTCTGAGTCCTTTAATAAGCTAACCAGGGCCGTGTATTCAGTAAACTTAATGAGATGCCTGTGTGCTCTTACCATAGTTTGTATACAAAATGTACAATAAGGGGAACAAGACACAGCCCTGTGGTGATCCAGTAGAAGTGTAGTGTATATCAGATAGCCATTTCCACACTTGGGCCTTTAAAACATATTTTTTATGAAGTCTAGAGCCCATCTTAACATGTTACAGTTTCATTTGAAGTTCTTTGAAAGTTCCTGGACAAGCAAGAGGAGTTGAATTGTATTGAAAGCAGATGAAAAGTCAAGGTTTAGGTTTAAGGTCAGAAAATCTCAGATTAATAACATGAGAAATGTTACAGATCAGGAATTTTGGATTTCTGGCCGTTTCCTGAAGGATGCCAGTGGACCTTCAAGAACATGTTGGCTGGGTAGCTTGTTCCAGACTTGTTCCAGTTCAGATTTATAAGTGCGTGTGGTCACGATGCTGTCAGTCCGTGATGTGCTGCAGTGTAATGTCTTTCTCCCTCTCTCTATGCCAGACTCGGAGTACTCTCGCACTCTGCTCCAGGCCTGGGTTCCCCTGCTGCCCGCGTGGAAATGCCAAAAACGATACGGCAGCCGCTTCACCAGTCGCATGCTGTGTGCGGGCAGCCTCTCCGACCACCGGCGGGTGGACAGCTGCCAGGGGGACAGCGGGGGCCCCCTGGTGTGCCAGGGGGAAGGAGGGCATTGGGTCCTCACTGGGGTCATCTCCTGGGGTCATGGCTGCGGTGACCCCAGTTTCCCAGGAGTGTACACAAGGGTCAGCAGGTTCTTGCGCTGGATTGAACAGGTCACACGGAGCCCTGCGAAGAACTGAGACTGTGGTGTCCCGAGGACACAACCGACACCTCTGGGCTGGTGGGGAGGGGTACATGCAGGGTGGGTTGGGGGCATGGGAGGGTCATGGCCTGTCTTAGCTTCAATACTATCATTGACCTGAATTTGTGCACCAAAATCCTCTGTTACGGACATTTTAAGAATACTGATCGGTTCCTGTTGCTACATTTCATAACTGCAAACTGGTGTCCAATAGAACAGAACAGAATGTACTGTAGTTCTGATGTGAAAATGAGACTTTAGTGTGAAACTTCAAATACACTTAGGTTTAAGGTAAGAAAATCTCAGATTAGTAATATGAGAAATGTTACAGATCAGGAATTTAGGATTTCGAGCCGTTTCCTGAAGGATGCCAGTGGACCTTCAAGAACATGTTGGCTAGTTAGCTTGTTCCAGACTCTCGCAACCCTTTATGGACTATCCTGTGAGATCTGGGACAAGAGGCCACTGTTGTGATGCAGGACAGGGAACTAGAGGTACTTCTTTGTCCAAAAAAGTCTTACATTTTGTGAATTACTGTACCTGGCTAGCTGCTCTCTTGCAAGCTCTGATGCCCTAGCAACAGAAAAGTGCAAATGTGCAATATTAGCCTAAAAACCGTGCAAGGAAAACTGTTGGGAACAAAATAAGTAGTGGCTATAATTAGTTCAACCAAACCACAGTGACTAGTGGGGGAAAAAATGTTAAAAGAGTTATTTTGATGCAGATTTTAGGTGAATTCTAGTATGTTATGTCTAAAATAACATTTCTCAAGGGGATAGGAAAGCATTCACTGTTTATGGTTTTAAACCTGAGCTCAGTTCACATCAGTAACATTCCATAGTCATGCATGCATTACAAATATACTCCTGTCTGTTACCTCTAATCTAATACACTTTTCATCTGTTTACAACACTTAACTGAGCCAAGCTGCAGCTTCAGACATATTGTGTGCTGGAGATCACTGTGCCTAGAGAAAAGGAAATTTGGGGAGAGCAGATGAAGGTCTATCAGATCTTCTCCTAATGAACTTAAACATTTTGAAACAGGCTTGTTTCATTAAAGCCACATGCCACAACTTGGAAAGACATTCAGGAGAAATGTGCTGGTCCTTCTTTTGAAATTTTGAAATTACACATTTGGGTTTATTCTTTCCGTCCCGGTGCATTAGGAAAGTTGTCCTTCATCAGTTCATTCTGGTCCAGATGCAAGTGAGGCTTAGGTGAAGGGCTGGGTGCTGTCAGTGTTGCTTTGCTCTGACCTGTGCAGTAACCTCATTTGTTGACTGTAGATCAGCTGTCAGTCTGTGGTTGATCTGTAGATGATATGCTGTAGATCTGTGGTTGATCTATAGGTGATATGCTGTCAGTCTGTGGTTGTTCTGTAGATAATCTGCTGTTAGTCTGTAGAGGAGGTTCAAAAGGTCTTTGCTGAAGACCCCATGTCTGTCAGCTGGGTCTGTATCCTATAATGCAGCACTGTGAGGGTGCACTGATCGTACTGCTTGTCAAGAAAGCACAGGATACACCCCTGTATGTGAGCTGGCAATTTGTCAGGTAGTTTCCAATCACTGCGTAAGAAACTCGAAGTAGCCATTTTTCATTATTGAGCTAACCCGCAATGCATTGATTCCAAAAAGAAAAAACACATTTGAACAGGCATGTCATTTTTGCATTGTTTGTTTTGTCTTGGTAGGCAGTGCCTAACCTGACTGCACATCCCTGAAGTCTTCATACTGCACCTGCAAACAGGCTTTGCATGATTAGAAACCTTTCAGAATGAGCTTTAAGTATGGGGGAAAACGTCAGTCTGTGTCAGTAGGCTGATCACAGCTCCATTCATTTTAAATTGATCGCATGGCACATAAAATTATCCACTTAAATTACATTTGCAGTTCAATCTAATTGTAAGGTGACCTTAAATGAATGTTACCTGTGTTTTAACAGTTTAACAGTTGCTCCAATTAAGTTAGGGCACAGATGACTACGGTAGCTCTTTTGTTGAGTCTTTTTTGCATCTGCAGTGATTTACTGTATATCCTCTTTCTTCTGTATGCTCTCCCTGCTGCGCTGTACTGGGACCCTGCGAACGCATTTAATTTTTTGTCAGTGGATTTGTGAGGTCCAGCACTACAGTGTTGTTCAGAATGTTACATTTCTAACCATCTCACCCAATTCTCAAAGGTCCTTGTGTTTACAAATAGGAATACTTGAGCCAAAATGAAGTCAAATAGTTTCAGTATTCAGCTGCTCTTTCACTTCCATTGCACATTCCTGTTATTTAAATATGGAGTTTTTGTTCTTCTTTTTAAAGGTTCAAAATTTCCTTTAGGGTTAGGACTGTTAACATTTCAGAATCCTCATTATTTCCCTTTTGTATTCCACTATATTCGTTTACAGTATTTTACAGTATTTTTGTTTTAGGTTAGCAGCTATGAACTGCTATGAGTAGAACATCCAGCAGGTGGCGATTTTGTGTATTTCACTAGGCTGTGTGCAAGTAGTCGGCGATAATCCTTTGTGCTGTATTGTAATTTTGTACTTTTGCCTCCTTCTTTGTTTATTTTAATTGCACTTTCTTAGACATACCAGATGTTAGGCAACGTGGTCAGAAGCCTAGATTGTACCAGAAAAAATCCATCAAAAGTCATCCGTCTTAGTGCAAAGTGAGGATGACAGGACTGTAACATCTCTGCATTCCTAGTGCAGGAGAACCACAGTTCGATATAGTCCTGTGTGGAATGTGGTAACCGAATGTGTTTGCCAAGTTCGTCCTGTCCAGTGCCGCTAGTTATCTGGTCAAGACACAACCATGAAATTATGTTCTGTTTCACTGACCACCCTCATCTCCGAGTGGAATGAGCAGAAGGAATGTGCTCACTTCAATTTCCTGTCATCACAGAATCCCTTTCCTGTGATTTCTTTTTATACGATCTGTTTAGAAGGTTCTGTGCTCCCTTCTTCTCCCTCACTCCTTTGCACTCTTTATATAGAAACAAAATCCTGTGGTTTCTTCAAAGTGTTTGTGTAAATACTTAAAGCTATTTATGTTTACTGATGTGAAGTCTTCATGCATCCTGGTGTAACCTGAAGTTTTTGAAATGAGGACCCAGAGCATCTCTTATACTGGGAGGTACAACAGAACAAGTATCAGGAGGACTGAAAGTTCTGAAGGGACGTCCTGCATGGAGCTGCCATTGGTCTGGAGAGTTCAGTGACATTCACAGAAGTCCTGATGGGACTGTCTGAGCTGATGGCCAACTGCTCACAGTGACTGGATGAAGCCCAGGTTCCGTATTCCTGCCAGGCAGAGGGGTGTGTTGTCCAATCCCCATCCCCTTGCCAGGTCCTGTGTGACTCCAGAAGGGGTTGACCTGTCTGAGTTCTAGCAAGGCCTGGGCCTGCTTCCTCTTCAAGGGGTGACCACCAGACATGGTCCCTTTGTCACAAAGGCCACCATAGCAGATATAGGATTCTAATGCATCCTGACCCATCTGGATTCAGTTTCCTCTTCAGACAGCGCTTGATCTGGCATGTCCTGACTGCTGAGAGCCGAGAAATGGGCAAATACAGAACTCGCAGTTCATTCTCGACTGGGCTGTGCCTCGGAGCTCAGGGCTGGTCACTGACATGGCCTTGCATTTCTGCCAGTTTGATTCCCACCTTTGGCCTGGTACGCCACGCTTTTCTTTGGTGGGCTGCCACAAGTACAGTAGATAGAGAGACCTGGACTGTCTAAAGATTAATTCTGGTTGCATGCAGTACTACCTGCTATCTGTCTGGTCCCCTGTATTTACAGTAACCTTTGCCTCATACTATGATTTCTTTGGATTTGTAAAGTGCTTTGAATATTTTCATGTGAGAAAGGTGCTAAATAAATTAGTCCTAATTGTGCGTCTGGTGTGAGAAATTGCCCAGCTTTATACAGAACCTCTTGCCGATTCCTGTGAATCTTTGTTTAGAAAGTTCAGTGAGTGCACACGGTCATTAGATGACAAAAAAAACAGTCTATATTTAGGCTTTCTTTTATACTGAGTTTCTTTATTAATACCACATGCACCGTTCTGGGATTCTGCTCAGTGTTTATGTGGCTCAAATCCAAACATACTGACATTGCTGACAGCTAGCACTTGTAGCATTTGTTTAAATTGACAACATTCAAATAATGTTTGCCAATTGTAAAGGGTGTTCATCCTGCCTAACCTCTTTTTGCTTCACAATTAGTCATACATGTAATCTTTTTTTATGGAGTCTTTGAGGCACTGACCTGAGAAAACATTGCCATAACCTTGGATCTCATCCAGGGAAGTTATGCTCAATTGCCTTTAGCTATGATATGGTGCAAGACTGTTTTGTTTCACAGAAGATGCAGTAAGTAGGTGTAACGGTTAACTCCTTATCCCCAACTCCTAGCAGAAACAAATTGTAAAGAGAAAAAAGTTTTGTGATTCATTCTTGCCTGTTTTGTACTTTAAAATCGAAATATGGAAATGTCGAAGTCTGATTAAATTAAAAGTGTTTGGAGTTCTGAACAGGTGTTCCACCATTCTGCTATGGGGAGAGTGGGGGACCATGTATTTACTGTACATTGATGACATTGTACAGTAGATCTATCTGGCTATTCAATAGTGTCATCAGAGACACACACCTCCTGGTGACATCATTGTGCAGTTAAGGGGCCATCTGTTACTGGTCGTTGGCCCAGGGCTAGGGGTCGGTTTAAGGTGAGGATGGAGTTTTAGGATAGAATTAAGTTTAAGGTTGGGACGAACGTGAGTAGAGAAGGTATCAGATAAGCTATGTTGCGTGTGTGGTGAAATAAACCAAACTGTTTTTAGGCAGTTGTTACATTGGAGATGCTGAGAGAACCATGAGGGATTATGGTTGTAACTGTCATTATGCTGGGTTCATCTTCACTGTAGGATCCCCATGTGGACATATCCAGACAACCTGCATCTGACTTCAGATTACCACTTAGAATTAAATTATGTGGACTGGGATCTACACCACCAGACTCTCAGGGCTTCTGGATTCTGAGTGTATCACGTCCTGCTAGCTTTGCAGGATACAGGACAGTATAAGTGCGTATTAAATCTATTAGCACAATAAATGTAACATTACTTGTAATAGGGTAGAGCAAGTAACTATTTTTCTTAGAGGAAACAAAAGTATTCAAAATATGTTAGAACACAGGTGCTATCCATTTTAGGCAGGTTATCCTATATTTTGTTTCTGTTTCATATAGAGAAAACTCAGGTCCCTTAGTGTATTTTCTGTGGATATGTTCTAATTTTGAGCTAGTGCAGTACCTTCATTTAACTGAAGTGAAAGGTGTTAATTGCCATTTCCCATTTTAAGTTGCGTACAGGGGAATTATTCCACAGCATTTCATCAAGAAAAATAAATCTCCTTTCTAGGTAACCATTCCTTCCACGAGTTGCATTAGAGAAAGAAGAGTCGTAATCCCCCCTCTTCTGTGACCGGCATGAGAGAGACGAGGACCGTACGCGCACCCTCTGAAAAACACTGTTGGGATATCTGCCCTTGTTGCACAGTGAAGCTCCACAGTGTCTCGAGCAGTTAGGAGCCTGGCAAACCACAGAGGTTGCTGTGACGGGGCAGGCCAGAAATGTCCTGGTTTACCTAACCCTAGTGTTGCTATACCAGTTTTGCATTGCCACTGTCACGACCGGTTCTTTCCGGGCCCTATGCAGACGACACAATCCGGAGTAGTGAGGAAACACTGGGGGAAAAGTCATGCAGGAGATGGGAATGGAGAAAGGGGGCGTGTCCTTGGTGCGCAGGTGTCCAGGGAGAGTGAGTCCGGGGCAAACAATCCAGGAAGAAGTCCAAACGGGGAATCCAAAACACAAGCATAAGTCCATGACCAGGCGATCCATCCAGGAGATTAAAAACGGGAACTGGGTCGGGACCGGCAGGGAGAACAGGAACAGAAAGTTAAAAACATAACGGAGTCAGACGCATCAGGACCCGGGCTCACATGAAACGGAAGTCAATGTAGACCCCTGATTATCGTTTGCATCTGGCTTTTAAGGGGGAACGGAAAAGGGGCTGGAATGAGGAACAGGTGGGGGGAATGAGGCAGAACGAGGAAGGGCTGGAGCGCCCTTAAGAGGAGGGGTTAGCGATTGTGACAGCCACACACTGCTGGCAGACAAGGTAAAGTAAAGACAAGGTTAAGTAAAAGATTATTAATACAATTATCAGCAGACATACATTGTCTCTGTGCTCCACAGGTAATGAAGCAAGGAAATGGCCCCTATGCTAGAACTTGGTCCTGAAGGTCACTGTGTTGTTTCTATTGCCCATGGAGCTCTTCTGTTCTTAATACAGTCTAATGGGCTCCTGTGTTGTTCCCAGAATTCCCCCTTTCTTTGAATAAAGCCCTTGGAGTTCCTGTGCTGTCAGACCCTCGAGAGCCCTTCTGCTGTTAATTGAGCCACAATACAATTAATACATTTTGTTGGACTTCCTTAATATAGCCCTTGGGATCCCTCTTCTGCTAATACAGCCCCAGGACCTGGGATACCTCTGTACTTGTAATCGGATCTCTGTGCTCCCTCCTCTATTAATACAGCTCCTTGGGCCTCTGTTCCATTTTCAGACCTCTTGGGGCCCCTATAAATTTGGAAACAAATTATTTTAAAGGTGTAATCAATCCTCCCAACTGTTTTGTGCCATTTCTGTACTTTGGTACAGTTGCTAAGTTTAACAAGGTGTTTTTCCAGACATGAACAAGCTGTATGTACAGTGGCTATTACAGGCACCAGAGACTGGTAATAAAGCTACCACTGCCAGCAGTCACTCAGGTCGGGGGCAACACCCCTTGATTGGAAAACTTCTGATGTAGCACCCATCCATAAAAAGGGAGACAAAAGTGAACCAGTAATTCCAGACCACAAACGTTTACCACAGTGACATGTATGGTTACAAAAAAGATCATTAGAACTAGACTCATTTCTAACCCTTCTCATGTTTCTTATAAGAAAGTAAGAAAAGATACAGAAAGAAATACAGCCATATGTGGTTCATGCAATATAAAAGACAACCTGTTCGTATAAGAACATGAGAGAGGTTACAATTAGAATAAAGCCCTGTCATGTATTTTCTAGATGGATTCCAGAGCAGGGGTATCTTTTTTTTTTATTTGGTGTCCAAAATTATACACAATATTATAAATGAATCAAATTTAAAGTAGTGCTTATGATTCATGACACATGACACAAGCTAGGAGGGAGGCAAAAAGTCTCGACATTAATAACAGGAAAGATAATGCTACAGATGCTGTCCCTGTAAAACAGGTTAAAGAGCAGCAGTCTTCAGCTGCATTCTGTGGAAGACCAAGTGAGAGGAACTCTTGAGGAGGGTCAAGACGGTGACGGTTACTTCCTCTATGTCATTTCCTTGTTTGATTACACAGCCTGGCTCCCGCCTCTATTTGTGTTTTGAATAAATTGCCTAATAGTTTTTAAGAAGTTCAAGTAGGTGGCTGCATCAGCATGCGCAGGGCCTCAATGGAACAAGTAAAGGTTTATTCCCTGCTGAAAAGAGAAGAAAATTAATAATAATAATAATAATAATAATAATAATTAGAAAGAAAAACAATGTTTTGGCTGTGGAACCCTGAAGAAGGCTCCAAAGCCGAAATGTTGTGTTTCTTTTTTTCGCTTTTCAGCAGGAAATAAACTTTTACTTTTCCTAATAGTTTTAAAGCTATGCAAATGAGTCTCCTTCCATGTGCTTCAGGTCCTTTTACAATTCAGCAGAGTGTGAAAAGGGCAAAGCAGCACAATTCCCTTTGTAGTTCAGGTGGGTAGCTGCATCAGCATGTGTAGGCTGCAAAGGAACAAGTAACAGGTCTATTCCCTGCTGAAAAGAGAAGAATTCTCTTGGACCCATTTGCATCCGTGTGAACTATGAAAGTGGTACTTCAGCTAATTGGATTGCGTCAACAGGCAAGGACAAACGCGAAAAACATGGGCTATGTGGGTTACGCCCTGTATGGCACTCCAGTCCATTGTAGGGCACACGCAGACAACGATGAACACAATCACACCATGGCCAATTTTCCCAGATTCCCTGTTAGCCTACGTACGGTACGACTGTGTGAGGAAACCAGAGCACCCAGAGCAAACTCACGGGAACATGGGGAGAAACGCAACAACTGAACCCAGGGCCTAAGCACTGCAAGGGAGCAGTACTGTAACTCCTGTACCACTATGTTGCCCACACTTAAATAATTCAGTTATTTATTTGCTAAAGCAAACTAATTTAGCCCTTTCCATCAGGTCTAAAGAAGGCAAGACTCAGTAATGGCCCTGGAGATTCTGAGCTGTGGTCTTGTTTGGCAACACTTGATTCCCTTGTAAAATAAAAAAGCAGTAAGAACAGGATTAAACAGAAGGTTTAACTGTATCAACAGCTCTGTAAGGACAGTTGTGCCAACTGTGGAGGCACATAAGGGCCTGAATATTGATGAGTAGACAGGAAGAGAGAAGGAAGACCTGGGCCAAGTCACCTAAGGACTGAGAAACACAGGCCAGTCGGCTCACACACGTTGTCTTGTAGTGATCAGTGTCCTGGGCAATAATTAGGCATTTGTATTTTGCTCACGGCTGTCAATACATACGGGTGCCTGACTTCACACCACATATGTCACTGACAGTATACAACAGCTTTCATTTCACGGAAAACAACACAACACAAAATGATTCCAAAGCTTTTCTTCCAAACACTTGGCATGTTTACAGGAATTCTGAACAGGCCTCTAACAAACGTCATTCAGCCTGAGTGTATATTTAGACTGCTGGCAACTGCTGAGGCCTGGATCGCTCCTTGGCCTTGAATGAAGCAGCATGCGAGCACAATGGCAAAACCTCAAGGAGCAGAAACAAAGCCAAATCAACTCGCAGCACACTATCTCTAATGCCTGCAAACAAGTGGCAGCCTCCAAAACGATATCTGGCCATTTTCAGGAAAAATATTCCTTTTGTTTCAGCTAGCTTGTTAAAAATGTAGCCTCTTACACACTACATAGTAGATGTTGGAGCGGGTACCTGCATCAGTATGTCATCACTGCAAATGAACATGTAAAGGCTAATTCCGTGCTGAAAAATAGAAAGGAGAAACACAACATTTCAGCTATTGAGCCTTTTCCAGGTATGAAACATATCAAATGTATACTATCTTTCATCCTTACTATTTTCAGTTTACTAGTACACACTCATCACTGTCGATTGGAGAGTCTGAGCGTAACCACAGTCCTGAAAAGCACTAGATCCACACTGCATTGTCCCTTTTGTTCTGATTCCATGATGACTAGTATACCCTGTCCAATTCAGACAGCGCTGGACTTCCGGAGGATGGCAATATAGCGCAGTCGATAGCATTGCTACCTTGCAGAGTTGGGGCCCCTGGTTCAATTCCTGGGTTACTATCTGTGTGGAGTTAGTATGTTTTCCCATACTAACCCCATACTGTTAGTATTGGACATTCCAATCAAA